GCTGTTGCATAGCCCGCTCAGCCCAGGATGTCCCCCAAGGAAGCACGGAGAGGCAACCCATCGAGGTCGCGATCTGGAAGGCCTAAGGCCAAAGCAACGGTGGCTCCGGAGACCTCTTCATCTGATAGCCCACCGAGCCCACCGAGCTCAGGCGAGGAGGCCACCGCTCCGCCAGCTGCTACCACAAGTGCTCCAGCAGGACCTCCTCCTCCAGTGCCGGTCAATAGGCCACGAGGAAGCGTTGGATGTGCCAAAAGTAAGCCAGCGGGGCCGCCCCCACCGACTCCAGCATCCTGCACGTCTCTTCCGACAACACCGGTGCAGGCCTTCGCTGCCATGGCTCCAGGAGGCTTACCAGCGGGTGCTCCACCAAGCACAGGGCCTATCACTGTCGCAATGGGAGCTGTTCCTACGCTTCCATCGCCTACTCCGACCTTGCTGCCTCCTCCGACTGCACCCCCAGCACCGAGTGTCAATGCAGCAGAGGGAATTTCGGGCACACCAGCTGGACCTGCGCAACAGCAGCCAGCCACTATCACTACCAAAGTGGCGGGCTGGACTTTCACGCTTACGGTTAGGCCACCGAGCTGAGCCACGAGACAACAGGTTCTATGGTGGCCAGGCACGAGCTTTCTGCAGAGCTTGCACTACAGGTGCACCTGACAGCTGTCAGCTCTCTGCCGTCTCTTCCTGTATGCAGACTTGTTGTTTTGTGCCCAGCAGCCTCTCGAGTGGGACTCACAAAAGACGTGCTGTCTCTGTCAGCGCACTTGTACTGACACCACTTCGGAGCCAGCTGTCACTGCTATCCTGGATTATCCTTTATGCTGACTGCACTGCCCAGGCCGACCTCATGGCAGACTCCAATGACTTCGCGAAGGCTCCAGGTCAACGGTGCCCTCCATCTGCACTTGGCATACCTTTGTCGAACGCTGCTTGCCACAGGTCTCAGGTCCCTCGAGACGTCCACTTTGGTGCTCTCCCTGCCCACCACGGGGCTTGGATCTCAGTCCTGCAGCTGCAATCCGTGACCAGCCAACATGAGACTCTACCGTGCTCCTGCATGCATTCTGCAGCCCCACCATGTGGTTATCGCGTGTGCCTGCAGCTTTCCACAAACCAAGCCACATTGATGACTTTGGTAGAGCATGTGGTCCTACAGCTGACTGCCACTACTTCTGACCACCTTGCTTCCCTTAGGGCTGGGAGACCTCTCGCCGAATACTTGCAGGTATCACCCCCTCAACTTCTTAAGTCAAGGGACTATCCTGTCTTAACGAGCCCCACCTGCGCCCTTCGAGGGATCATGGAGCCTGCCTCCGAGCCTGACCGGCCACAGTGGCAGGCGGCACTCGTCCCGCTTACAGTGGGGACCGAAGTAGAGGTGATCGACGGTCACAGACGTCATCTCGTCGGTCGCCGAGGGATTGTGCTCCCTACTTTGGAGTGTGACCGCAACACTACGCGGAATGTGCGGATCATACAAGGCCCTCGGGATGAACAACGTCGTACTTTTACCATCGACAAGGAGCACCTCGCTCCCCGACTGGGGTTGGAAGCTACACAAGCTTCCATGTGTGATGGAATGGAGCCGAGTCTGAGGTGGAGATGTGCTCCCCCACCATTAACCATCTACAGCGCCCGATACCTCCTCGGCTATCAGGCCCTGGAGACCATGGTGCCTCCGGCGGCACCCAAACGGAATCCAGCTGGCCACTATATCCATCCCCCGGTGGAAGATGCTACGCTTGAGGCACCCTGGGAAAAACACGTTGACCAAGCTAGCGATCGGCCCTTCTACTACCACCCGGGGACAAAGCAGGTGACCTGGCGAAAACCTCGGCCTGCCCTGGTTCTTCCGAGGGAAGACGAGACTGGGCCCACCAAGCCCAGGCGAGGCAAGACGGCGATCCCCCAACCTCGTACTCCGAGTCCGTCCTCCCAAGAGGATGAGAAAGCATCCCACCAGCGATGCTCCGCAGAACACCACGAGCTCTACGACTCAGTCTTCAGCTTCTGCCACAGCTACAGGGACAACTACTACAGAGAGGAAGCCCGCTCCGGCCTTTGATCCCCAATCTTCTGGTGGCCCTTCTGAATGGAACCTGGCCGATCATGCTTTACCTGCCTCTCCAGATCGGGTACTGATCTGGGGGGCCAAGGCCAGGACACAGCTGCCCCAACCGCCGAGTGCTCCTGCTTGTACCCTGGATGTGGAGAGGTTTCTGCAGAGCTTCTTCAGGACACGGCAAGGCCCCACTGGCACATCTCTTGCCACCCTACTTGGGGACCCAGTCCCGCAACCTGATAGTTGGTGGAGGCTCCCGTGGACACCACTGGATCCATGGCACTGCGAGCTGCTGTGTCAGGATGGCTGGCTCAGGGGCTGGCATGGATGTAAGATGGAGGCGCTTTACTCCATCATCTACCATGGCCAACTTCTCCCGAGCACTGACGAGTCGAAAGGTGACAGATTCCTGGCAGGCTGTCCAGGGGTGTATCTGCACCGCGACAGCCTGCAACACAAGGTGGAGAACTACATGCGATGGATACCACTATGTGGAGATGGTCTCTTTTGGGCTGCCAAGTGGGAGGTGGTGTATGCTCCCTCGGGGAGCAACAAACATGGCAAGCGTACTGATCAGGTTATACAAAGTGCTGAGTCGGTGGAGCTGGTGGCCCTCTGGCTCTCAGTGCGCTCCGAGAACATGCTGCCTGAGGGAACTGCTGTGCAGGCCACATGGACGCCCGCCCGTGAGGCTAACCCTTGCCTCACAGAGTCCAAGCGGCGAAGCAGTGCTTTGATACAGGCTGTGGACTTTGCGGCACTTTCTGCCTCCTCCAGACCTTTGCCCAGCTCCAGTTCGCGGTCTGACCCGGCGATCGATGACAAAGGCCGCCTCAAGCCGACACCTAAAGCTCGTGGTCGCCTGCCACACATCCCTTCTGAACTAGAGAAGGACTGCACACCTGCACAAGCGAAGCTCACCATACAGGCAGGAGATCTCGTCCTTCGATCGGCCACAGCACATAGCTCGGAGACTCCCAATGCTCCGACCACGGTTTCGGCTGCTACCTTGGCCGACCCATCAGATCCACCTCAACGAGGACCCAAACGGGTTCGATCTGATGCTTCCTCTCCGAAACCAAGGAGGATGCAGACACGGCCCAAGCCGAGACGATCGATTTGGTTTGATGTCACGGACAATCCGGCTGATCAACCACTTACGACCTCCTCAACTGCAGCCAAAGGCCGTGGCACTGGGATGACCAAAGCTGCGAGGCACCAAGAACGTGTCCGCAAGAAGATGGCCAAGAAAATGGAAGAAATCTTCCAGGCCAATAGAGCCGCTGGACTTCACTCGGACTCAGCGGCCTCATCCAGTGCAGCATACAAGGATCCAGCCTGCTGTTCATCATGTCCACGTCTGCATCGGCATAGCCAGTCTTGCCTGAAGACACACATGTTCCCCTCCCATCAATCGGGCAAGCTTCGTGTCTTCGCTCCTCTAAGGTCTAGCCTACTGGCGGCTTCGCCAAACCAGGATGACACAGGCAGGGATCGCTTTACTGAGTGCTCGGAGTTGCAGACCTCTGCACCTAGGATCGGGCAGCCACCTAGGTGGGTTCCCTGCTCACAAACCCTCGTTGCTCCTTCCACCAGTCACTGCCTGCAACACTTGGGGCCATCAGGCTTGTATCTTCCGACCTGCCGGATGCCCGACGGCACGCCCGAATCCTTGCAGGTCCCTTCGTTCATCTACTGGGGGTTTGAAAGGCACCTGAGCTCTTTTCCATGTACCCATCCAGGCCTTGAACGTCCAGTGTGCACATCTACGACAATGCCAGTCGGGCTCACATGGCACTGCGGTGCCTCCCCACACCGTGCTCACTATCGCTGTGTTGTGCCTCGAGGTATGTCAGCTGCACTGGCAACAGGCCCTACTCTGTTGCATGCCTATTGCTCTCGTGATGATTGCTCCAGCCATTGCACCTGGCAGGGGTGGCCAGACGCTTTCCTGACTGACAGACCTGAACACTGCCTGGTGTGCCTTCGACACACCAGACCATCTGCTGCTGGACCTGCTTCGGTCCGGTGCCCACCTCCACCACCAGGAGCTGGTCTGCAACCCGACGGGCTCTCAGATCTTGAGACTGTCGCCCCCAAGCAGCTGCTAATCCCAACTCGCGGTTCTCTTAGCCTGCCTTCAGGTCTGTCTTCGCCATTGGGCGCAGGCCAGTGGATCGAGCAGACATCACCCCGAGATATGTTCCTGTCCAATTTGTGCAGGACATCCCGGGCACGTGGCTGGCCTATCGTCTGGCGGACCCATGCTGTGAGTGGTGTCGGCTTGAATATCGTAGAAGCACCCCCTATGCCACCCGCATGCAACAAACTGGCACCTCGCAGACCAACAAGATCAGATCCCGTGAGTCTGTTTCTGCCGAGCCGTTGCAACCCAAGGTTTCCCCTCCGGCCCTGGATCTGCACACTATGGATTAGATGTGTAGACGATCTGCTGCACCGTCCTTCGAAGTCGATGCCAGCATTTTTGACAACATGGACAACTGGCATCCCGAAGTGCCTCTCTCATAATCCCAACATACCTGCCCTGAGCCACTCCGGTCCCAATTCCGGAGACCGACTTTTTCATACGGCTGACAACCTGTTATCTCTCAGACACCCGCTGGTTGTCCATCTAGCCTCCGAACAGTCGGTAGGGGCGAGGGTTGTGAGCGGCTGCCACCCGCTCACGAGACCGAAACTCACCTTCGTGGTGGGGGACGGGAAGCCGTGGCAGGAGCCCAATGAACTACACTCTGCTGTGAGGGCAGTCTTGCGAGACCCCCCACAAAACCACACTACATGCTTTGACCTAGGAGTTACTCTAGGCATCGCCTGCTCTCCTAGCCTGACCTCCACTCCGTTTTCAGTCATCTGTTCATCGTGGGCTGGTCCGGGTGATCAGACTGCAGGCCCCTGTGGAGTGCCGAACAGCATGAACAAGCTGCTGCTAGGATATGCTCCACTGCAGTCCAAGCCCCGGTACTTCTTCCTCTACAAACAGGGTCTCCCTGTTCGCCTCGTTGCCATCCGGGCTCCAGCACTTCTACACCTTACCTCTCCTGGCCTTTCTCGCTCTCGGAGGCCTCTCCCTGGAGTACAAACACTAACACCTGCCACTCGATCAACCCACACTGCTGACAGGTCTTGCCCTCCGTCGACTACGTACTGCCCCAGCCAGACCCCGGGCACGACGCCGTACCCCAGGCAATGCCCTCGCCCCATCCTGTTCCTCTCGACTTTGTTTGCACTACCAAGGTCGATCTGGGGAGTGCCATCTGCACACCCCCTGCATCCTACAGTTGCACATCACTCAGCGACCCTCAATCAGGCCACCGTCCATTCAAATGCGCACACATTTGCCAGGAAGAGATCCTACAAACGTGCCCTACGTCGTGCTGCACAGGACGAGGCCCAGCATACGATTTATCGAGGTCGTATCTGTACCCTGCAACAGCTCTGCAAGGGCTATCGGGGCCATCGACCCGCCCCTCAGGCTGAGCGTCGCATGCAGCAGGCCGCTCTGAAAGTCTCCCAGGGACGCCTGCTGTTCCTCTCATGGAATGCTGGAGGCTTGTCCCAGGCCCTGTGGCAGGAATTCTTGCTGACACTTGAAAACATGCCAACTGACGAACGACCCCAAATCGTGTGTATCCAAGAAACACATTGGACGGACAAGGTGGCGCCAACATTCCCCACTGCTACCTGGGATGTGTACACCTCCCCAACCACAGACAACAAATCTGCTGGGCTCCTGATTCTTCTCAATAAGAATGCTACCCGCAACTGCAGAATTGTTTACGCCGACCCTCAACCGGGCAGGGTGCAACACTTGAGGATACTCCACGACAAATGGGCAGTTGACCTGCTGCACATCTATCAAAAGCCGCACAACTCTCATCCACTCGCACTGCAATCCTCGAAAACCATACGTTTAGCTGTCTGGGAGTGCATTGGCAAGATCCTGGCCGCTCTGCCTGCCCGAAACACAGTGATCATGCTTGGAGATTTTAATACTCAGATCAAGCCGTGTGCTGCAGCTGGCACCAGGATCTGTTCAAGCACCAGCACGAGCACACATCCGCCTGATCAGGCAAGGTTGCAGCACCTTGTTGAGGACTTCTCCCTCTTACACCTCAACTCGTGGTGCAAGGCGGCTGGCCCTACATACCATCACAACAAAGGTGCTAGCCTTATTGATCATATCATCATGCGTTCCAGCCAAGCGGATGATCGTGCTAGGCAGGCGAGACCGCTCCGCCTGGGATTGGCTGCCTGGAGACTTGGTGGATATCACCTGCCACTGAAGGCCAGCATCCCGCTTCAGCGTTTCCACACTCTTAACAAACCGGTGGCACCACAACGGGCATGGGACCATTGGGGCCTGATTCAGGTTTGCCGCTCTACCTGGGATCCGAGAGTTCAAAGTCTACGCTCTGCTGTCCAGGCGTCCCTACCAGGGGTTCAAGATCTTGGACAATTGCATGAAACTCTGATCCACTGTGCCTCCCAATTCTTCCCGCCACCTGCAGGACAGCATCGGCTGGCACTATGGCAAACACCGCCTATGCAGGATGGTATTCGCTCCATGTGGCAGGCCTACCGAGTCTGGAAGACAGCCAAAGCTCAAGCTCAGCATAATCCGCTCTACGTTTCCAGGTGCTACCATCACTTCAAGACGGCACACAAGGCCTTTCGTCGTGCCGGGAAAGAAGCCAAAAAGCACTGGTTCCATGGCAGGCTACAGGAACTCCAGACTGCTGCCAGCTCAGGCGACTCTCGCAAGCTATATGCTGGCATTCGTACCTTAGCTCCCAAATCCTCCAAGCCGAAGGTTCAACTGCGAGATTCTGGCGGACACCTGCAGGATCCCAAGACCCAGCTAAAACAGCTGGAAACGCACTATCGCAAACTGTATGCTGCGGACGAGGATGGCAGCATACAAGGCCCTCAGCGACAGCCCATTCACATTGAAGTCACGGAGGCCGAAATGACCCTGGCGCTCTCGCAATTGTCACCACATAAAGCTACACCTCCGAACTTAGCCACAAACTCTCTATGGAGGCTGACCTCGGACCTCGTTGCGCCTCTCTTGTGCCAATGGTGCCGGCAATGGCCTCACATACCAGAGCTTTGGAGAAGCGCATGGTTGACTCTTGTTCCCAAGATTCCGCGACCACTTTCACCAAAGAATCTCAGACCTATAGGGTTAACTGAATCCAGTGGCCGTGCATATGCTTCCATACTGCAGGCGAAATTGCGCCCCTACGCCGAGCGATTCCTTGCAGACCAGGCACAATTTGCATATCTGCCAGGTCGCAATGCCGCCCAAGCCATACATCGGGTTGCTGCACACTGCAAATATGTTCAGGATCGCTGCTCGATTTCAACACCTACGGTTGTTGATCGTCACGCACAACAGCCGAAACCCTGCCCACACTTTGCAGGTGCACAACTATCGCTGGACCTGTCCAGTGCTTTTGACCTCATGGACTGGCGCCTGCTGGACAAGGCTTTACTAGCGTCCGAAGTTCCGGCTGAGCTCAGACACCAAATCATGTCCTGGCACTCTGAAATCTCCTATGTCCTTACTCACCTTGGGCACACTGCCAAGGTGGAGGCCCAAAGAGGACTTAGACAAGGGTGTAAACTGGCTCCGTTGCTCTGGACACTCGCCCTAGCACAGATATATCGTGAGATCCTTGCTGAGGGGGACCCGCTTCTCACAGCACCTTGGCTAGAGCAAAGCTCCACGATTTATGCTGATGATATACACCTCAAGGATACTGTGCAGAACACTCGTGAGCTGGACGACATGGTGTATCGCTTTAGTAAGATCCTCGATGCCCTTGCGGCCCATGGTATGGTCATCAACTCGGCCAAATCAGCATTGCTACTGAGACACAAGGGCAGTTTCATCCGAGGCTGGCTGCGCCGACACCTCATACCCAAACCCGAGGGGGACCTCCTACGTTTTCGCAGTCCACAGGGAACAGTGTATGAAATTCCATTGCGTGACCATCACACGTACTTAGGCATACGCATCTCCTACCATTCACAGGCCAAACAAGCAGTCACCTATCGGCTGCAGGCTGCGAATCAGGCCTGGCAAAGACTCCGTGGTGTACTGTGCTCCACCAGGCATCTCGCTCAGACGCATCGTCTCAGTCTATGGAAATCCACAGTGCTTCCCACGCTGCTCTATGGCATCGCAGCATCCAACCCAGGTGCCAAGGACATACAGCGAATGCAGCACATGATGACCAAGCAGGTTCGAGCCATCACACGATCCTTTGCACATCTTCAGAAAGAATCCACACAGGACCTTCTACACAGATGCTCTTTGTCCACCATTTTGGAGCACCTACAGAGGGAAGCCGCTGCCTTGCATCGTAGCCTGACCCGCCTGAGCACTGAAACGAGCTTCGTGACCCAAGCCCAGGTGGAATCAGCTCGAGACACTGCCGCTACACTTCACCTCCAAGTGCAACGCCAATGGCAGGTCCCTCTTGGGGACACAGAAGGCATCACAGATCCTGCTGTACATCAGTGCCAGGAATGTCATCAGGTCTTTACCTCCTTTCGGCTCCTCCGCTCTCACGAGGCTAAGTGGCATGGCCTCAAAACACCTGCTGCTGTCTCGGTGCCTTTTGACAGGTATGCACATGGAACAGAAGGACTTCCAACGTGCAGACACTGTGCCCATCCCTTTCGACAATGGGATGGCCTCGTCAAGCACATTAAACGCAATCGGTGTCAGGTACTTCGTAGACTTGCCACACAACCTCCTGCTGCTGCCCCACCCTTGGCTCCGAGTTCTGATGACTCCGACCCTGTACTAGTCCCTGACCCGGCTACTCTGCCACCCCAGGATCTGTCTCCGGGGACCCACATCCTGTCAAACGATCAGGCTGCTATGCCCCCGCCTACTCCTGTCGATATACCTGAACCCCCTGTCTTGGATGCTCCCCTGCAGGATAGCTCCACTTCGCCGAGCCACGAGGCTGCTCCTCTCTATCAGCAATCTCATGTCCTTGAGACACTAAGTGCCCGCAGGTGGATTGACCTCCTTGTGAAACCGGAGACCTACTCGTATCTCCAGCACCACTGCCCGCTGTGTTACCAGTGGCTAGCCACCCCTACCAGCATCAAGTATCATCTCACCATGCAACATCCAGAGTGGAAAGAATGCCAACCTGCGACTCTCAAGCTTCTTACTGGTTTCCGCCGACATACTGTTGTACCATGTCGATACTGCCATCAGCGAAACATCAACAAAGATCGTCATTGGAAACAGTGTCATGTTTTGCATATTTGTGCCTTTCTAGCAGTGCACCATGACACTCTGCGCGGATCCCATGGAGCTGGACGAACAGGAGAAGCAATTTTGGGCCCATGCCGGTCCGGTCAAACGGGAACAGGAACCACGACGAGATGTGATGCATCAAACCGAGCAATCCAAGAGGCAGCGTCTGGCTCCGCAGGACCGGAACAAAGGCAAGGGCAAGGGTACCAAGGGCAAAGGCAAGGGAAAGCAGGGCCTACCAAGTCCATCCAGTGCCAACCAGGTCACGGGCTACACAAATGGTTTCGGAAGCCATCCACCCAATCCCTGGACACAGACTCAGGACCTGCAGCCACTGGGAAATCACGATCCAGACTGGATGGAGTACAGGATGAATCGACTATCCCAGCTGGTCCTTCGTCAGGAGCAAATCATCTCAGCCATCCGTCAGGATCTGGTCCTCTACCTCTTTGTACGATCAGGGCCAGAAGGGATGGTACCGGTTCTCTGCGAAGCAGCGGAGAAGTGGAGGAAGATGAAAGAGGAAGAACCCGAGAAGATTACTTACTCCCTCAAACTCATGCTCTTCAAGCAGCTGCTCATCACCTTACACCAGAGGTTGACCAACATGATTGCGGACGAGGATGCTCTCGCCAAAGCCAAGAACCTGAACTGGATCGACGATCAGAAACATTGGAAACATCTTACATGGAATCCTACCAAACAATGTCTGGAAGTCGACAACTCGGTGAGGCCAATACCGGCGGAAGATCTGCTGGCCCAACTGGTTCAGATGAGGAAGGCTGTTACGGAGGAGACTCTGGTGAGGTTCAAGTCCATGAGGAAGCTCACCACGGAGGTGACCTCCGACTGGATTCAGTTCCAGATCTGCATGTCCCTTCGCCCAGAGGGAGGAGCCATGTGGAGCACGCTGAACCAGTGGATCGGACAAGCATCGTGGCACACCCTGGGCTGCAGGCTTCGCCGCGACCGGCCGAACTACGACACCCTGGTCCAGGAAGTGTGGCAACATCAGATGCCATACTGAGTGTGCGCCCTAGTCTCAAGGCTGTCCTTCGATTGATTTTTCACAATCCTTCAAACTTGTGCTACCTGCACTCTACGATCTATGCACTATTGTGGACAATCCTCCAGGCTAGGCTGCATGATGCCTACGTTTCGCCTCCACCGCAGGCTCTTACCATGTTATGTCCACCAATCACTGCCACACCCAATTGCCCCATTCAGGTCCTTCACTCGGTACCGTGGCTTATGCTGCTGCAAGCTTGGCCTTCTGTGCATCGTCAGCACGATGCAGCTGAACTGCTACAATACCTTCTACCCAGGTTCTCGCATAGTGGGTTCAATGGTGGCTGGGAGGCCCGAAACTTTGTACCTGGAGGTATTGCCACTCTCGACAAGGGGCCTACCCAAGCTCCCATTCCGATTGCGCTGCCGGCAGGTCCAAGTCTGGAGCTCCAAGCAGCCATTGATGGGTGGAGTGCTCAGGTTACAGCTCGCTATGCACTGCTGAATCCGTCTCCCATGCTCTGCATACAACTCCAACGCTTCACAAATGCCGAGGGAGTCATGCGCAGGGACACCAGACCACTGGTCGTGGCCTCGACTACAGTTCGTATGCCACTCTTTACAGGTCTGCACACAATGCAAGTTCGCTATGTCCACTACCAGGTCGTCGCTGTACAGCTTCACTACGGGGCCACTCCTGATATGGGGCATTACAGAACTATCTTACGAGGACAACCGCTGTTTGGAGCAGAAAAGTGGTGGATCACTGATGACTCCTGCAACGCAAAGCCAGTCAGTACAGAACACGATGACAACATATATATAGTGTGGCTACGTCAGGTACTACCTCCTGGTGCCTGATGCTGAGCAAGTGTAGTCTTAGTCGATGGAGCTGGCACTGCCCTCCAGAACCCAAAAGAGGTTCCAGCCACCGGAACACCCGGTTGCTGTCTGCTCGCTAGGCGAACCCGGACACTTCGCTGCGTGGTGAATGAATGCTACTGCTACTGCTACTGCTACTGCTACTGCTCCTGCTCCTGCTCCTGCTCCTGCTCCTGCTCCTGCTCCTGCTCCTGCTCCTGCTACTGCTCCTGCTACTGCTACTGCTACTGCTGCTGCTACTGCTACCACTACGACGACGACGACGACGCGACGACGACGACTACACTACTACTTGCCACTGCCACTGCCACTGCCACTGCCACTGCCACTGCCACTGCCACTGCCACTGCCACTGCCACTGCCACTGCCACTGCCACTGCCAACTGCCACTGCCACTGCCACTGCCACTGCCACTGCCACTGCCACTGCCACTGCCACTGCCACTGCCACTGCCACTGCCACTGCCACTGCCACTGCCATTGCTGCTGCTCCTGCTCCTGCTACTGCTACTGCTATCACTACTGCTACTGCTACTGCTACTACTGCTACTACTGCTACTACTGCTACTACTACTACTGCTACTACTGCTACTACTGCTACTACTGCTACTACTGCTACTACTGCTACTACTGCTACTACTGCTACCACTGCTGCTACTGCTGCTACTGCTGCTACTGCTGCTACTGCTGCTACTACTACTACTACTACTACTGCTGCTACTGCTACTACTACTACTACTACTACTACTACTACTACTACCTCTACTACTACCTCTACTACTACTACTACTACTACTACTACTACTACTACTACTACTGCCACTGCTGCTGCTGGTGGTAGTTCTACAACTACTACCAGCACTGCTGCCACTTGTTCGGCGACTGCTGTTGCTATACTGCTTCAACGGCCACGACGACGGCTACAACGGCCACTTCTAGCATGCTGGACATGTGGTCTTCGCATGTCACGGTTGTACCTTGCAGTTGCAATGGTCTTACATCTACTTGGAGTTCATGCATTGGTATAAACGGGGTTATAAGTCCCCCAACAGAGGTTATAACCATAGTTACCCTAATTATAACCCCACTTATAGCTACCCATGCACCTGGCCCTAAACCCTATACCCTTATAGAATCCCTATAGATCCCTTTAAAGGGACCCTTAAAGGAACCCTTCGAACTACCCATGCACCTCCAAGCACATCCGATCTTGCAGGTCGTAGCACTGGGAGTGCCGCGTGACTCCCACGCTGCGGGCCCCCGATGTGGTGCTGTACATAGGGCTGACCCGATCGCTGTGTTGTGGGAGGTATGTTTAGGGTTTGGGGTTTAGGGTCTCGGTTTACTGTCTGGAGGGTTGTCTTTTTATCGGGGTTGAAGGACACAGTCGACGAAGTTAGCAACGGCGTGCGACTCGCTTTCGGAGAAAGAACAGCGGTCCAGCTGCATATTTGCCGAAGCTTCCATCCAATGTGCACTCATTCCCAAGGCTCCCGGCCTGAACATCGCAAAACCGTACACCCTCAACCCTAAACCCCTAAACCCCATAAACCCTGAACCCGAAATCCTAAACCAAAACCCGAGGCCTCAAACAGCCCTATTCTCAGACGGAGGTCTTCTTCTTGAAGGCCTCGGCGTGTGGGCTGTGCTTTGTTGCCAGAGCCCCGGCTTCTCTGATTTGCTCTATTTGCGGGGCTTAGGGCAAGCATTTGAGGTGTAGGTTAAGACCACGGCGACTATTGCTGTAATTGGTGTGTAATAGTACCAGTGCTAGTAGTAGGAGTAGTAGTAGTAGTAGTAGTAGTAGTAGCAGCAGCAGTAGTAGTAGTAGTAGGACTACTACTAGTTTATTATTACTACTATACTACTTACTAAGTAGCTATCTGATTCTACAACTCCTAACTGACTACGTGCTCACGACCTCTGTCTACTCCCTACTCCCGACTCGCTCCTCGCTACTCACCGCACGCCGCCACTTGCGACGAAGGTCGTTGCTTCTACGGGACGGTAATGGGACGTATGCGACTTTGCAGATAGCAAAGCCCGAAACTCCGAGAGGATGATCCTAAACCCTAAACCCCAAAGTCCTAAACCCTAAACCCTAAACCCTGAACCGTAAACAATAAACCCTAAGCCGTAAAGCCCTAAAACCCCAAAACTTTGGGATGATCAGAGTTTCGGGGCCGTGGCTCAGTCTGCAGCCGTTTGCTACTGCCCGGAGCCTTTGAAACCCCGAGCCGGGGGCCGACCCGAAACCCTCCAATGCCCCCCCGAGACGCGAGAGCTTTCAAGGAACCCTCGTAAGGACCCTTTTTGGAAGCCTGTGGTCCCAGATACCGAAAACGCAGCCCTAAATCCTCAAAGCAAGAACCTGAGAATCAACAGAGAGGAGGCCTCAGCTTTCTAGCAGCGTTTACCCGAAACCCTAGAACTCACTTTGGTCTCAAGGTTTAGGTAGTTTAGGTGCCAGGGAAGGTGCAGACCTCCACCCCCGAAGCTCTCCCTACGCGGCCTAAGCCCTAACCCCTAAACACCTAAACATCTAACCCTAAACCACTACGCCCTAAACCTCAAACCCTTACTAGCCAAATCCTGAAATCTCCTTGAAACCGACAGAGCTTTGAGACCTACCGGGAGCCATGGGATCGATCTTCTCGAGGTGGAGTCTTCTTCCCCCCGGCTCTCAGGGTTCAGGGTGCAGGGTTTAAGGCGCCCAGCCGGGAACCAGGGACCTCAAGGGGCTAAACCCTAAACCCTAAACCCTTAGGGGGCTCTTATAGGGTTTAGGTTTCAGGGTTTAGGATTCAGGGATCGATTTGCCTATTCCCTGCGAAGACCCAGGGAGTCTTTTGCAGTTCTGGGCCGGGTGTTTCGGGGTTCTGGGGTTTGCTGCGGGGTTCGACTAATATAGGGGCCTTCATAATTAGAATAGGGTTTTGGGGCCCATTACACTATAACTATAATAAGGAGCTCCCAAAGGAGTATAGGTAATTGTTAAGGCCACTACATTCGAGTGTTGGGTCTGGGCTTTTGGGGTTTAGATCCACGTGGTGCCGAGCACCGCAGAATGGGGGGCTTAAGGGTTGGAGTTCTTGAGGCGCCTCTGCTTCCTTTGTGCTTGAAGCCAAGGGCTCACGCTGACATACCGACGTGTACTGATATGTGAAAAGCCATGGTTTCGTCATGCCCCCTTTCTGGGTGGTTGCCCCGCATGTCTTTTTCTAGTGAGTCTCACAATGTTTCTGATTCTCAGTTTTCTGCTTCGTGTCTGTTTGCTCAGCTCGCTTTGTTTCTGTCGTCCTGCACCTCTTCCGATTGTTACTTGTGCCCCAATGCTTTCCTCGAAACTTGCTCCACTTGCCTCTATAGACCAACCCACCAAAGATCCCCAGACCCAAGTAGGCAGCAACGAGAAGGTGTGCTTGGACACGACATGGGCCAAAAAGCAAACTCAAACAGCGCACATTCAAACACTAACTGTAAGAGCTGTTGAAAAGCTTATTGAAACTCTTAAACACTGGATATTGAACTCCATAAGCCCTGGTAAAACCTGAGTTATCAGGGTTGACATCGTGAAAAGCACCAGAATCCTTGAGCTTCAAAGCCAGAGACTGTTTAGTCGTATCGGACTCCTGGCTTGGCTTACGAGGCCTTTTTGACGCTCAGAATTTCGTAGTATTTGGATGTTTAGGGGGTTTTGGGTTGCAAAATGCCAGGGTTTCCTAACCGCTAAGAGCCTTGTCTATCCGGGTAAACGCCATTCTGCTCCATAGCTATGTCGGAAGATCGCGGAAGCCTTCTTCCAATCGTCCTAAAACACAGAGCTTGGAGCCCTGAGGCCAAAATTTCTGAACGTTGTGCCCGAGACACAAAACCCTAACCCCCAAACACCACTGTAATGTAGGCTCCCTTGAAGGAGCGAACCCTAAAGCCTAAGCCCAAAACCCTTAACGGAAACCCACGCCAAACTCTGGCTCCTGTCCCAGAGACTCCAAATATCCCTTAATTAAGGAATATACTTTAAATTATAGTAGGATCCCTAATATGATTTAAGGAATATTCCTTAATTAAGGGATATTGGACTCTCTGGGGAACTTAAACCCTAAACCCTAACCCAAACTCTGGCTCCTGTCTTACAGCGCCCTTCAGGGAGACGCATGAAATCGACACGGGCGACGCAGCCCTGGCTGCTGTGAAGGTCGACGTTTAGGGCTACAGTTTCTTGGAGTTTGTAGGGCTTTACAGGGCGTTTACGGGTGTTTTTATCAGTTTTTACGGGGTGTCTTTCAGGGTTTTTAGGAGGGGTTTGGATCAGCACTTCAGGGTGTTTAACAGTTCTTTTATGTTTAGAGAGCCGCTTAAGGCTTCTAGAGGGATGTCGGATGTAGGGTTTAAGGCCAAGACCTTACAGAGCCTAAACCCTAAACCCTAAACCCTAAACCCTAAATCCAAAGCCCAAAGCCCCGAACCCCAGACCCGCAGGCCGCGCGTAAGCCTGAAGAATTACCATACTATTCCTTCGGGCTCCTTATGATAATGAGACTGTAATATCCCCCAAAAGGCTTATTCCTTATATGAAGGCCCCTACAGTACATGCTGCATCTAGAGATTCTCTGCAGCAGTAGACCCGCAAGGTTAGAGTCGTAGTTCGGCTTGAATGGGTATTGCTTTAGGGTAGAGGCGGGTCAGGTTACTCGGTGTGAGCCGTTCCTTGCGGCCCAATGCGAGGAACCTGTAGATGAAACATGTGTTCAGGCTCCTATCCCTCAACCCCAGTCCCAAACTGTATGTCGAAACCGATGGAGACATCATTTCCTCAACTCTGCTCTGTAAGATGCCCTAGTGCAAAGCATAGACATAGAACTCCTCTCATCTCTCATGCATCCACATACCTTTTGATAGGTTCCCAGCCGTTTGGCTTACTTCATGTCGCTGGCACCCCATCGCCGAGTTCTCGTGACGGGAGCAAACAAGGGCATTGGCCTTGCCATTGTCAGACAGTTGCTGACAGATGCCAGTGACACCTTCGTTTATCTTGGGTCCCGTGACGAAGCCCGGGGGGAAGATGCTGTTCGGAGCTTGATCGGAAGCCACCCAGAGTGGAAGGAGCGAGTGGAGCTTCTTCTGATAGATCCTACGAGCGACCCGTCGGTAGCGGCGGTACAGCACAAACTTGAGGCTGGCAAAATTGAGCTTTATGGCATCGTGAACAATGCAGGCTGTTTCATGAAATTTTCGGAAATGCTGCAGCTCCACCTCTATGGCACCAAGAGGGTCAATGATGCCTTAGTCCCCCTATTGACTCCAATGGGAGGACGCATCGTAAACATCTCCTCCGGAGGAGCCCCGACGTGTGTGGCCAAATGCCGCGACGACCGGAAGGCACTGCTTAGTAGCTCCGAGCCACTGTGGGAGCAGATTGACGCGCTTGGGCAAGAGGTGGAGTTGCCGTTAAAGAAGAACAATTGTATGCTTGTAAGTTGTAGTGTCATTGTAGTACAGCCATGTTCATATACTATAAACAGTAAAACTGCAAGTATATTCGGGAACCCAAAGGTGGAGGCCATCTTGCGAAGCTTGCCGGCGGAGGCGGACGACGCGGCTGTAACCCGGGCCACAGGCGTTGCCTGGGGTTTGGATGGCTACGGCTTCTCCAAGGCTCCTTAGATAGTGAACGGGGGAACTTTAAACTTTTTGGCCCGAAAAATTAGCTCTATCATAGAAAGTTTGAACTTTTTTGGGCCCGGTTGTTGAAGAAGAGAGGCTCTGCTCAACTCCTATACGGCGTGGCTTCAGAAGCAGCATCCGAAGCTCATCGTCAGCTGCTGCAACCCGGGCTTTATTGAGACGGACCTCTCCCGCCCGCATGCGGAGCAGATGGGAAAGACACCGGCAGAGATGGGGATGATGCCTGTGGAGCAAGGCGCCGTAGTTCCTTGCAAGCTGGTTCTCGAGGACTTGAGGGAGAGGGGGCCGTACTACGGCAGCGACGGCAGAGCTTGCGGCCTGGCGGAGGTGGATCCCAATGATTTCGAATCTTGAGTGATCCCTGTGCGGAAAGAATTCGGCTCTGACGCGGTTTGGAATTGGCTTTGGGTTCAGGGTTGAGCATTGAGGTGGAGGAGTTGGGACGAGTGGGGGTGTCGCCTCCGAGGTTGTATCGCTAAACCTTGACCATGTCCTTGCTTCCCATCAGTTTCAGGCACCCCAAAACCTAAACTCCTAGCTCCTAGAACTTTTACAGAGCCCTGAGTTATACTATAGGGGCCTCAATAATTACCAATGCTACTGTGGGGGTTCCGTTTTATAATTATCGTACAATGGGCCCCAAAACCCTATTCTAATTCTTACGGCCCCTATATTACCGTGCTGTTTTGCAATAGCCGAGTGGCGAGGTGGCCAACGCGGTGGCGCACAAGCAGGCGCGGGGAAGGTCCTCCCCGGCTTCTTAGGGCTTTAGGGAGTGAGGCTGAGGGCGTAGGATTTGGAGGTTTGGCGGGGTTTTATATTCCGGCGTGGGTTGTGATAGGGTTTGGGGTGTTGGGGTGCTCTGAGCCGCAGCTAGTCCTTTCTGCTTAGGGTCTTGAATTCTGTGCTGGGGGCTTGGAAGGGTCGCGGGAGATAGGCCTCGGTTGTTAAAGCTCAGCTAAAATAGGGGCCTGAAGAATCAGAATAAGGTTTTGAGGTTTTTTACTCTGTAGTTATAATAAGAAGCCCTAAACCAGTGTAGGTGATTATCACGGCCCCCTATGTTAGGCGGCTGGAGTCCATTTCTAGCAAGCACTGTTAAGTTCAAGATCCCAAACTCCGAAAATGCCCTCGAGCTCCCGAGCACTAATGCCCTGCGGGACATGTTAGGGTTTAGGGTTCTGGTTTGGGGTTTAGGGTTTAGGGTTTTGGTTTAGGGTTTAGGGTGTAGGGTTTAGGGTTTTTGGGAGTGATCCGAATGACAAGCCGACTCCTAAATCTCCCAGGCCCTCACTCCTTCAACTCTTCGGGCCCGCAAGAGGCTGCCTATGACATGGAGCTGGCAAAGCACGCCACGCACGCGGCGCTGGAGATGGAGAACACGCGGAGGCCCGGAGCCTCGGGGTACTGAAATGTGATCAGTTTTGGGTTCAGGGTCAGGGATGGCTGTTCTCCCTCTGACGATTCCTCGTCTTCGTCGGTAATCGAAATCATATGGGTGGTTGTCGATATTAGCCTCCCTTCTTGGGGTACCCTAGATATTAGGAGCCCTAGCCGAGACCCCCACGCGCTGAACCCAATCCTCTACCGTGCATTCGGGTAACCACCGTTTCTCTCTCATCATGTTGGAGGCTTTCCATACAGTAAAAGCCAGAAAGTTGGAATATGATTATCCTAAACCCTTTATGGTAAAGTATAAGGTATCCCACCCAGAAACCATATTCCAACTTTCTGGAGTATGAATAAAAACGTGGGGTTAGTTGGGGTTAGTGGAGGGAAGCGCTCGACGAACGTATTCCTTTTCTCCCTGTGCGCGCCAGTATGTGCAAACGTCGTGAGAACACTACTATAGGAGCGCAAATTAAGCAATTCCCAGTATTCGTAAGGGTTCCATGTTATAAATGTATTACAAAGGGGCCCAAAATCCTATTCTAATTGAAGGAGAGCTGCACACGGCCTGACCCAATCTGCGGGTTGCTCACTCGCTGGCTCAGTCACTTAAGACCGATCGACAGGATGAATGTTGAGACAGGAGTGCCACTGAGAAATGTCGATGCTAGCGGTAGTGATGTCAGTGCTGATAGCGTGGCCAATGTAGTTCATGAGGAGAAGACTCACAACTAGAGTTATTGCTAGTGCCCTTGTTCTGATGCGACTATGGTGGCTGTTGCTGCTGCTGCTGTTGTTGCTTCTGTTGTTGTGGTTGCCGCTGCCGCTGCCGGTGGCGGCGGCGGCGGCGGCGGCGGCGGTGGTGGTGGTGGTGGTGGTGGTGGTGCTACTGCAGCTACCGTTACTTCTGGTGCTGCTGCTGGTACTGCTGGCGGTGGTGCTCCTTAAGCTGTGTGCTGTAAGCCCTATATCGTAGCCGCTACCTTATAATTAAAGCCCAAGAGGCTGGTGGAAAGATACATCCTCGGCACCGACGTGCTCACCATCAGCGATGTGGAGCCAACTGCGGGTCAGGTCGAGGCAGATGCTTTGGAGAAGCCGATCCCTGAACCCTAAACCCCTGTAATCCCGAATCCCTAAACCCTAAACCCGTAGAAATAAAAAACCCCTAAAATCCCTGAAATCCGCAAATTCCCTAAACCCTAAGCCCCTAAAATCCCTGAAATCCGCAAATTCCCTAAACCCTAAACCACCAAAAAATCCCAGAAAGCCGCAAATTCCCTAAACCCTAAAGCCGGTTTGCGGTCCTGCGGGGGCTCGGGGCTCCGGGGTTGTTTTGTGGTTCAAGATAATCGGGGCCTTAACAATGGGAGTAGGGTCCCTTTAAGGGCTATCATAAGGGTTCCTTTGAGGGTTGCTATAAGGGATCAGCAGTGGGGCCTTAACACTTTGAATAGAGTTTTGGGGCCCACTATACTATAATAAGGAGCACCCAAAATAGTATAGGTAATTATTAAGTCCCCTACACTGTGGTTCGAGGGTTTGGAGTTTTATTTACGGTTTTGGGGATGTGTGGTAGAGGAGGTTCGTGGATTCAGGGCACGGGCTCAGGCGTTAAGGGCTCAGCGGCTTCAGGTTACTTTGCTTGGATTTCTAGGTTCAAGACTCTGGAGGTGCAGGGCACGTCTTCCCACGGTCTTCGTTGGTTCTCTGCTACTGGATTGGCCTCGCGTCAGTGAGAATAGCAGCATCTGCAACAGGCGCTGACAAGCGACAGGGTGAGAACCAGGGGCCATGGAGCAAAAGGTGACGAAGTACATGCCTGTTGAAGCAGATGCCCGAAGTTACAAGAAATCGAAAAAGCAGCGCGCACGCGCTACCACGATCCAAGCGTTTTCGAAGTCCTGGCAGCGAAAGAGATCGTCGATCATCTCTGTGCCCAAATTCAGCAAGCAATGAAGCTTCAAGCCCACGAGGGCCCTAAAGACCTATACCCTAAACATTTTTTGGATAACGGGACTGTTCAGTATAGCTCAAAGGCAAGATGCATTGCAACGACTGTGTCGCAACTTGCGATGATGGTGTCCAGCGAAGCCACTGCTGACTGTCGTAGTTTGCTTGCTCCGCATGGTGTTGGAATGAGACCCTAAACTCTGCAAGGGCATGCAGTTTTGAGCTGCCGTGGTGGAAGGCATTGTGTCGAAAAGGTCCATCGTTGCATGTTGCCATGTAGCTTATGCATCTCAAGGTTTCTTGTTTAGATGTTTTTTTGGGTGAAAGGTTTAGGATTCTTCTTGGGCCATTGGCCCAAGCCGTCAGACCCTGAATTTCCGTAGCCTTTCTGACACCTGCACTCGCATCCCAAACCTTTCTGTAAGGGCGGCGGCCCCCCGAACTACTCGGCCTACGCGTACCCACTGGATTCCGCGACCTGGCCGACGCCGGGTCCCCAGTTGAGGGTTCCGCCAAGGTTTGACGGTTTGGGGTCCCGGGTTTAGGGTTGACAGGCTTTAGGATGCGAAGATGGGGGTGCAAGCGCAAGGCTAGGGCGGCTAGGACTTGAAGACGTATCCATGTAATTCCAGTTTGTGAAGTCTTGTTCGAAAGTAGCTCGCGCCTCTTACAGCAGGCGCTTGGCGGGGTGTGTCGTCAGGGGGTAGATCTGAGAGTTTCAGAAAGTTAAGAGATTCTGAAAGGCTACTCGGGATACCCCTCGGAAAAGTACGACTACGACGACAACCACAACGACTTCTGCTACTTGTACTAGTACCAGTACTTGTGCTCATGCTTTGGCAGTCATCCTGAACCTTAAAACCCCCAACCATCCGGTATGTGAGTCTTTTTTGCAAGGGGCCTGGGGCTGGCTCCAGGGCTTTGGTGGCATAGGGGCTAAGGGCCCATGGACCCAAGGGCTTCGGGTTTGGGGGTTTCGGGTTTAGGGTTTCGGGCTTAGGATTTAGGGTTTAGGGTTTACGATTTAGGGTTTAGGATTTAGGGTTTAGGGTTTCGGGTTTAGTTTCGGGCTTAAGGTTTAGGGTTTGGGGCTTGCAGTTTAAGGCTAGGCGCCCATTACTACGGTAAATCTCTGGTGGTTGTGCGCCACGGGGCAACTCTGAATCCGAAACCCGCACGATTTCAATCCCTTGTAGTACGTGTAATAGCCCAAGTAATCGCAGCCATACAGTGACATGTGAAGAAACCCTTATACAGCCCTCAAAGAACCCTTATAGCACATAGTGATAGAGCCGTTGTTGTCTCGCTCATGTGTAGTAGCCTTTAATCTGTATATAAGCAGAGATATGCATGTATGTATGTACGTATGTATGTATGTGTATATACATATAGTCTATATGAATATAATACCCCTATTTATCAACAAAAACAAATAGATATAAACATGAATAAGCAAACACATAAAGAAATATAAGTAGACACACAAAAATAAATAGATAGGTATATGTATATATACATATATCTATCTATCTATCTATCTATATGGTCACCCCCCCAAGATCTACATCCGCCTCTTCCACACAATTCCACAGGTTGCTTCTCTACATTGGTCGACTACTCATATATGCCGAAAACACCGTAAATTCCGATACAATCGTGCTTTACTCCATGTGCGCGCAAACCGTGCTGCTACAAGTCGCGGGTTTGATATGTGCAAAAATCTGGCGCCGAATCTCGGCAGCAGATTTATGGTAGTTTATATGTTGGAGAAGCTGAAATGCTGGAGGGCGTGTTATTTTTGCTCAGGTAGTACCAAAAAACCTCATGTTTTTTGCGTTTTATGGTGTGTTATTTGACGACATTCCTCTAATACTAAAAATGCTATTGTCTGTCTTACGAAGACGTCTGTGTGCGTGGGCCATCTCTTTCCCGCTGCTCGTGAAGCGTCCGCTTCTGATGCGGCCTAATAGCTCTAGCATTTGATTTATGAGTTACGAAACACAAAGAGCTCCTTCCATGTCCTGTCCGTTATATATGAAGGAAATCGAATATACGGGCGCGTATGTTTTTGAAGCAATACTCCAATAGTTGTTCTTTGCCTCATAAAACATGGGAAAACTCCCCTGGAGTTGGAAAGTTCATGTGCATATGCGGGCTCACAAGAAGGCTCGTCTGCAGAAAGAAGTAAGAGAGCTTGTTGCAACCTTCCAAACATGAAGCAGGACTAATTACGACTGGCTGCATTGATACGTATCAACCGCAAGGCAGGGGCTCCTTAACCTTGTAAAACAAAGTAAGATGGCACTTCATGGAAGAAAACTCCTCTTTATGTTGTGAGTCGATATTAAAGGCAGCCATATGCATAGCAATCGCTATCTATTTTTGCGGGTACTCATTTGGGCCATGAATTTTCATTCGGTTAACTCTTATTGATGCTGTCCTATACCCCGGAGATGATACCGATCGCTATGTCCATGGCTGTTTCTCTAATTGCTGTCATAGAACGTAGCGGAAAAAAGTAGCTCTCTTCAATCTTCAAGCGACACTCCCCAGATGTGATCAGCAAACAAAGAAAAGCTTGCTTACTGGTATCTTTTCTTAAACGGGCAAGAGGCGTAAGACTTGTATCGGTTTCTACACCTCCCTCACATCCTGACAAAGCGATACCGGTCCTTCTGTCTGTGACTGTGGTTTAAACGCTGTCATAGTTCGTATCACAACATGAAAAGGAGCTCTGTTTCCTACAGTCTTCAATATGAAATGAATTAAGTTCTAGATAGGCTTGCGCTGCTACAGTGTTGGATCTGTAGGTGGTGCAGCTTGCCGAAGAAGGGCCAAAACCATTTTCGAGAAAGCTCCGGTACTGGAGCCAGTGCTGCTGGTGCCATAGCTCTACCAACCTCCAAAAACATACATGAAATAAACTATGCAACGACTAGGCCTTTTTCATACTTACCAAACACGAGTAATGAAAACCGTTGTTGTTCCAGAAGACACGTAAATCATTACTTCCAGTCCTTGACAACGGTTGAAAGCACACAATTATCTTGTGATGCAATATCTCCTGTCCTGGACATCACAAAACACTGTAATGCTCAAAAAATTCCAAAATTTCCAACCCTGAAACTCACGAAACACTGTAATGCTTAAAGAACCCAAATTTCTAAAATTCTGGCATCTATGGCCAGGCCGGGGGCAGATTCCTTAAAAGTTTGGAGTTTTTTGAGCATAGCAATGTTTCGTGCGTTTCAATGGTTGGAAAAGTTGATTTTTATTGAGCATTACAATGTTTTGTGCGGTTGAACCGCACCTCGTCCGGGTGGATTTCCATAGCTTCGTGTGCGGCAAGATTTCAATAGGCTTGGAGTCACACTTGATTGTGCACAGCTGTGCACCCATCACATATCGCATGTCCCTCTTCACTAGACCCTCTCATAAACACTCACTGGCTCAAGACTTCGGCTGTGGGAGAACGAGACGGACCAGGCGGTTTTGGTTTTAGGACCAGCATCAGCAGGTTTGGGGGCGGACAAGACACGCGCATCATGAGCATCAGCGGTGTTGCATGGCAGTGCAATAACTGGAGCCGCTACCCCATGACCTCGTTGTTGAGTGGTGCATTAAGCAAACCATGATCAATCTCAAAGACGCTTTCTGACTAGGCGGTTTTGGTTTTAGGACCAGCCCCGAAGCCGACTGATGTTCATGAGGCCACGGCTGATGCTCATGTTTCTACACGTCCTAGAGTTTCCAGATTCCAGATTTGCAGGATAAATTTCCAGATTCCAGATTTCCAGATTTGCAGGCTCTAAGATTCCAGATTTCCAGATTTGCAGGCTCTAAGATTCCAGATTCCAGATTTCCAGATTTGCAGGCTCTAAGTTTCCAGATTCCAGATTCCAGATTTCTGGAAACCTTAGGGCCCGAGGGTTTCCAGATTCCAGATTTCCAGATTTGCTCACCCTAAGGTTTCCAAATTTCCAGAAATCGAGAATCTGGAAACCCTAAGGTTTCCAGAAATCTGGAATCTGGAATCTGGAAACTTAGAGCCTGCAAATCTGGAAATCTGGAATCTGGAATCTTAGAGCCTGCAAATCTGGAAATCTGGAATCTGGAATCTCTGGAAACATAGTGCATGCAAATCTGGAATCTGGAAACCTACGTACTGCAGAAAGCCGGAAATCAGGAAATCCAGACTCCGAAAACCTGCAGACGTAGATCTTGGGGGGGGGGAGATATATATATATATATATATATATAGATATATATATATATAGATATATATATATATATATATATATAGATATATATAGATATATATATATATATATATATATATATAGATATATAGATATATAGTATAGATATAGATATATAGATATATAGTATATAGATATATAGATATATAGATATATATATAGATATAAATATATAGATATATATAGATATATAGATATATAGATATAATTATATAGATATAGATATATAGATATAGATATATAGATATATAGATATATGATATATAGATTATATAGATATATATGTATATATATATGTATATGTGTATATGTGTATATGTGTATGTGTATATTGTGTATATGTATATATGTATATATGTATATATGTATATATTGTAATATGTATATATGTATATATGTATATATGTATATATGTATATATGCATATATGTATATATGTATATATGTATATATGTATATATGTATATATGTATATATGTATATATTTATATATGTATATATGTATATATGTATATATGTATATATGTATATATGTATAAATGTATATATGTATATATCGGTCCAGGAACTATCCCGTGCCGGAGCCGGCCACCCTGGACAAAGAGTACCTCCTTCCAGAGAAGGTCCATCCGGGGGAGACTTCGAGGGGAGCTGAGGGGTTGCAAGGGTTTAGGGAGAGCAGATGCTAGGCGACCATTGGGTGGCGCGCATGAAGTAGGAGCCGGCATAGCTGCGTTCGAGGTACTACGGCAGTTGATATAAATCCTGCACCACGTTAAGGACCCCAGATTATAAGAATTATGGTACATTCCTTATTGAGGGTACTGCAGGGTTCATATGTGCTTAAGATCACCAGGATCTTGATCATACAAACACCGCCCAGTCTTAGAAGTATACAGTCGCACTAAATATTAAGCAAGAGGTAGTACTTGCCACTGCAGAAGTAGTAGCAGTGGTGGTGGTGGTACCGGTGGTGGTGGTGGTGCTAGTAGTAGCAGCAGGCGTAGTACATGGTAATAGTAGTTGTAGCTGGTAGTAGTAGTGGCAGCAGTAATGCCGCTCGTGCAAGCTCCACTACTCGTAGCAGGAGCGAGAGTAGCTATGCTGCTAATGTATCTAGTACCCCTGCCACTATGGACGCTCCCATGATCTTTTAAGCCCTAAACCCTAAACCTTAAACCCTAAACCCTAGACCCTAAACCCTAAACCCTAAACCCTAAACCCTAGACCCTAGACCCTAAACCCTAAACCCTAAACCCTAAACCCTGAACCCTAAGTCCAGACCAAGGGGCATAGAACAACCCGACTTTCGAGCAGGTGAAGCTGGACTGGGCACCCGCTCTCTGTGTGGGCGCCTCGGGGACTTGGGAGCATCTATATATATCTATATATATATATATATAATATGTACATATATATATATATAAAGTTTAAATATAATATATATATATATATATAATATTCATATATAATATTCATATACATAAATAAATATATATATATATATATATATATATATATATATACGCATCTGCAATCACTGGGCTGCCTAGCACACATTGGTTTGCTGCTACCGCTGTTTGCTGTCAATATTAGCATCAAGTCCGTGATCAGTAATGCACGAGTTCCAGATACGACCACCATCAGAACGTCTTTGACGGCCGCGAGTCTTGTCATCGACATCTGCTTTTTGTGATCATGATTTCTATGACCAGCACTCATGGCTACATGTGGTCGCATGATGCTATTTGCAGAAATCCTTGCTCCGGTTAGTGCGATTTTTCCGATCGTTCCTGAGGACAAGTGCTACACTGTTCTACGTTGGGGTAACCACAGGTTTGCTAGTATTCCTGGCACTGCCAGCTATAGTGCCCCTGAGTTCCCAAGGCCTCGCCCTGCGAGCTGAGCCTGAACCCTTTATCAAACCTTCTGACAAGAACCGTATCAAGCCTTTGGAACACCGTTCCTTTTACCGCAAATCCCTGGTTCGTCGATGTGTTTCAGCTTGAGCCCTAAACCTAAACCCCAAACATAATCGAGCAAGCTCTGGAGGTGGCGCCCCTTCCTCCGGTGCAATCCGCCCGGGGGCGGCGGCAGCTGAGGAATTTCCTTTGACGAGGCGGGCCCTAAGTCCTACGGTTGATGATATAAATCCTCGGGTTCCTTTAAAGGGATCTATATCATCAACCGTAGCTGTACCCTGAATAACATACCCACCCTTTTTTTAGGACGTACATAAGGAAATCAAAACAATGAGCCCCCAAAAGGCTGGGCAAATTACAGCGAGCCCCGCGAGCCCTGCGAGGTAAGTTTCTGAAATAGCCTTAAATTCGTGCGGCGCGAGGTATGAAATAATACTCGGGCTTCCATTTCGCAAGGCTTAGGGTTCGACCAACCCTCTGGCAAACACTTTCCGCCTCGATTAGACTTCAGGGGTAGGCTTGGGGTTTAATTGTCGGCCCTTGTGATTCTTCATCGACTTGGCCTTGGAGTTGCAGTTCGAGACTTCAACGAGACTTCGACGAGGACAGACAGTGATTCTTTGCACCCACCCGCCGAAAGCCCCTGACTGCCGCAGTTGGGTTTTTGGCTTTTCCAGGGCATTTATCGTAACAAAGGGAAGCATGAACCAAGCCAGAACCCTAGGCAGCTATAGCCAAGTGGTTTGGCAGGCTTCTTCCAAGGTAACTTGTGTTGTTTCGACCCTTGAACTCAAAATCCTAAACCCTAAACCCAGAACCTCAAACACTGAACTTCCAACGCTGAACCCCTTTGCAGGGAACTCCTGGCTCACGCTGACGCGTATGCGGGACTCCATGGAGAAAAGAGCACGACAAGAGTGAGCCGAAAGACAGTTGGCCGAAATGCTTTACAGTGGGGGTTCAGGGTTTGTTTTCCTGCAGTCTTATCAGGTGGGTCATGCTAAACCCTAAACCATGTGTGGCTGTGACACTGGTCGGCCAAAGCCCAAGGGAAGTTTTGGTGCAACGGATTCAACGGAGGCACTTCTCCGACTTAGGATCTTGTTAGGGGCTTGGGATGTCTTTAAAAGGTTCCTTTTGGGGTCGATAGGGCTTCTAGAGCGGTTTCGGCCGTTAGGGATGGGGATTTACCTGGGTGTTCTATGTAGATGCAGACATACATGCGTACGTGCATGCATGTCTGCATACATACACACACACACACACACCGACATACATATGTACACAAAACCTAAATGTATACGTATATGCATATGTATATGTATATGCATGTGTATGTGTATGTGTATATGTTTATGTATATGCATATGTTTATGTATATGTGTATGTATACGTATGCAGGTATGTAGGTACGAAACATGAGTACTCCTCTCCCTATGAGGTGGGGTCTCTGGTGGGCTCCTTCGGATTCCTGGCGCCGCTGGTGGCAGGCCAGCGCGCTGAAGCCTTTAGGGTTTAAATGAGGTTTTAGGGTTTGGGGGTTTAGGGTTTGGGGGTTTTAGGCGGGTTAGGGTTTAGGGTTTAGGGTTTAGGGTGGGCCCCAAGCGCGTGGAGGCGTTAAGGGTCTTTGGGGCTTAGCGGTTTAGAGCTCGGCTGCTTAGGTCGCAGGTTGCGCGCTGCTTTCGGTCGTCGTCGTCAGAGAGTTACAGCTCCCGAGAGTTGAATCCCCAAAGCCTTAAATGGTTGTTGTAAGAAATCATAACAACAGCGGTAGTACTTAATTAAAAGTAATAATCGTAATAATCTAGTTATAGTACTAAGAATACGAACCCTGACGCTCCAACCCCAACCCCTAAACTCCACCGTGTCGCGGCGCTAGGAGGGCTGGCAGGGCACATCAGCCCGTTGATGACAGGGTTTATTCGTCTAGGAGTTCTTGCGGGAGTTTGTGAAGGGGGCCTGAGCAACTACGCCTATTATGCCGTAGGGCTCCTGAAGATGAATACTGTAAACCAAGCCCTATACCCTAACCTAATTATTGAGGCCCCTACCGTATGGTGCAGCTACTCGCAATACAAGCCATATCTCCCTAAACCCTAAAGCCCAAGAATCCCAAAGACCGGGCCTCTAAATCCCTCAAAAGCTCCGAAGCGCTTGTGCCCGGTTCGTTGTCGCACTTTTCTCTGGCTCGTCTTTCAGAGTCGGCGGGAAGCCCGGTCATCGGGTTTCTTCGGCCTTTAGATGGGGTTCTGCAGGTGCAGTGGGGTTGCTGTTGCTGCTGTTGCCCTTGTTGTTGCTGTTGTTGCTGCTGTTGCTTTAGTAGTAGTAGTAGTAGTAGTAGTAGTAGTAGTAGTAGTAGTAGTAGTAGTAGAAGTAGAAGTAGAAGTAGAAGTAGAAGTAGTAGAAGTAGTATTGGTAGTGGTAGTGGTAGTGGTAGTGGTAGTAGTAGTAGTAGTAGTAGTAGTAGTAGTAGTAGTAGTAGTAGTAGTAGTAGCAGTAGTAGTAGTAGTAGTAGAAGTAGTATTGGTAGTGGTAGTGGTAGTGGTAGTGGTGGTAGTAGAAGTAGTAGTAGTAGTAGTAGTAGTAGTAGTAGTAGTAGTAGTAGTAGTAGTAGTAGTAGTAGTAGTAGTAGTAGTAGTAGTAGTAGTAGTAGTGGTAGTAGTGGTAGTCGTGGTAGTAGTGGTAGTCGTGGTAGTAGTGGTAGTAGTAGTAGTTGTTGTTGTTGTTGCGGTTGCTGCGGTTGCTGCGGTTGCTGCGGTTGCTGCGGTTGCTGCGGTTGCTGTGGTTGCTGCGGTTGTTGTTGCGTGCTGGTGTCATGGCGCTGGTGTTTGTTGTTGAGCGGGGCTCTATAAGTGGTCCTGCTGGTGTCTTATACAGGCTAGTCTAAAGGGTTCTACTTGCAGGTTCATGGGTAGCTATAAATGGGGTTATAAGTCCCCCAACAGGGGTTATAACCATAGCTACCTTAAGTATAACTCCACTTATAACTACCCATGAACTTTCAAGTAGAAGTTCCATATCCGAAACGCTCAACGCGACTTGAAGCCAATGCTGCAACCGTCCAGAAAGCATGCCGCCAACGGAGCAGCCAACAAGAACCCCAGAACAGCTCAATAATGGGGCCTTTGAAGAAGTAGTGATAACAATCCCCCTATACTACGGTACCGGGCATTACATAGTTATATGCCCTCTAGCCCTCGCAAGGTATATGCCTTAATTGAGGAGTCGATCTTCACTGATATGAATGATACCCTCATAATCTGAGGTCTGTTCCTGAATTAAGAGGTTTCGGATTTTCCGAGACGCTTAGGAACAAATCCAAAATCCAAAACTCTCAACCACTAGAGCTTTAGACTCTAGACCCTAGACCCTCAAAGGGGAAAATGAGGGACCCTTAATGGAGACCCCTACCCTTTAATGGGCTCTATAATGGGTATATAGTAGCTATATTAAGGGTATATACCTAGGGGTCCTTATTAAGGGTCCCTCCTTCTACCCTTGGAGACCCTAAAGCCCTTCAGCCCTAACATGTCCTACCAGCTTGAGGTCGTGTTCGTGGGGATCCTAGAACATAAATCCCTAGAGGAGCCTTAAACCGACATCCCCTAAACCCCTACCCAGAGACTCCAATGTCCCTTAATTAAGGAATATTCCTTAGATTATGGTAGGATCCCTTATATGATTTAAGGTATATTCCTTAACTAAGGGATATTGGAGTCTCTGGGAATAAGCCCTAAAACACCTAAACCGAAAGGCCTGCCTCTAAGGGCCTGCTGGCGCATCTTGGGATGGAGCCAGGAGCCCGGGGAGGAAACAACGGTTTCGGATGTACTGGTGGGGACTAGGGTGTAGGGCTTGGGGATGTAGAGGTTCGGATTTAGGGATGGTTTAAGCATGCGGGTTTAGGGTTTAGATTAGGGTCTGGTGTAGGGTTTAGGCTTCCTCTAGCTCGACACGCCCACACCCCCAAGCCCTAACCTTTCTCTAAACCCCCGAACCACACCGTCATTCCTCAACCCTAAACCCGCAAGCGCGAGACCCGAAACTCGAGCATCCAAAAGCCTCACAGCATACGGTTTAAGGTTTAGGGTTCAGGGTTTAGGGCATAAGCCTCCCTTGACATGGGAAGGCTCCATAGGAGGTCGGTTTTGAGGGTGTCGGGTGTGGGGAGATGTGGCTCTGAGGAGTGGGTTTTGGTGTGGTCAGTGTTGCTGTTTTCGGGGGATCTCCATCGAATTTTCTGATCTGCCTGGGGGGAAAGAAGGATCTGACCCCAAACCCTCCACCCTGATTCTGGCTTCTTGCTGCGCTGCTGCCATGCCATGTTTTCCATCCCTACTGAAAACGCTTTTGATGGGACCATACGGTTCGGGGTATTTTTCGGAGGTTCAGGGAGTCCTGTGTCGAACTGACGCCTTCCCGGTGGACTTCCCGCAATCCGAAACTCGAAGCGGTTTAGGGCCTTCGGGATTTAGGGATTTCGGGTTTGGGGCGGAGGGGGTTGGTTTTTGGATTTGGGGAGTTGGGATTGAAGGTTCTGCGTTTGGGTTGGCTTTGGGGGTGCCGCAATATTGCGCTGAGTTCAGGGTTTAGGAACCCGTTCCAAAGTCTAGGGGGTGCAGGTCGACTCTTAAATGCAAGAGGTCCCTTAATGGGTTCCTTGAGGTTTCCTTTTTTTTGGTAATCCTTTAAAAATGGGTAATTTTTTTAAAAAAAGCATTTTCTTCAAGAATTTTTACCGGGTCACGTCGCAGCTTGTGGAGGAGCCGCTTCTGCGAGAGATCTGGCGCCTCTTTCCCAGCTCCGGAGCTGTTGCTCTGCACGGGTTGGGGGCGTTTCGGGTGCAGGCTTTGGCTATTCGTGGGAATTGCACCTGCGTCCTTCTATTGCTATTATTAGTATTATTATTCTGATTCTATTCTTTCTATTTTTGGAGGGTGAAAGCAACTGGCGAGCTCTCGTAGAGAAAGGCTGACGGCATTGTCCACAAGCCTGCTTTGACACCACCCCAATGTTTCACATGTGGTGTGTGCAGTTTCGTTCCTTTTACGTGCGTGCTCGTCTGAGTTTGTCCTGTCTCAGCATTTTCCGCGACGTTGAAAAGTTGTGAAACTACCGAACTCATCTACCCTGCTACCTGAGTGCTCATGCTCAAAGCTTCATTTAGCCAGTGTTTCAGTTGGAGGTGTAGCCATGCAAGAACGTCCGGAGCCTGTTTCACCCACAACCCTAATGCTCGGAACTCGTAAGATAGCGGTCTGGGTATTATTGCGAGTTATTCCTTGGGTGATAAGACTTATACTGTCACTGCAATCAAAAGCTTAAACCCTGATTAAACTCCATAACCCTAACCCCCCAAAACCCCAAAACCCAAAACCGTAAACCCTAAAACCCTAAAGCCCTAAACCCTATTATAAAACCAGCAAGCTGGAGGCGCACCCATGCGCCTCGTTTTCGCTGCCCTGCTGGGTGGCTTTGTGTCGGCGGCCTGCCGGGACCCCAAGCGAGATCTCGTGGTCTGTTCGTACTTGGAGGCCCTTTTGACTTAGTAAGTAGGGTAAGTAAGGTGGGTTATGGGGTTTGTAATAGGCTTTCTAGGGGATACTAAGTAGACTTACTAAGTCAAAAGGGCCTCCAAGTAGGAGTTGGATTTCAGGTTTAGGGTTGATCATTTAAGCCAAAGGCATCCCTAAACCCCTAAACTCTAAACCCTTAAACCCTTAAAAGCCCAAACCCCTAAACACCCCTAAACCCCCTAAAGCCCTAAACCCCTAAACCCTTAAACGCCCAAACCCCCAAACCCCCAAGCCGAGACAAGACTTGAAACCGCGAAAAACACAGAGCCCAGCCCCAACAAAACTCCAAACTTTGCGGAGCTTCAAAGCTCCCAAGCGACAGACGCCCCTAAACGAACCCTACTATATATACATATATATACATATATATGGTATACCCATAGAGCACCCTTCAAGGGGACCCTATTATAGAGATCTTCGAACCCCTATAGTAGCCTTAGGGGCAAAAGACCCAAGTGACGAGGCTACCTCTGGGGTGCACTGCCGACGACTCAGCTTTCTCTGAGATACGCGGAGATGTGTCAGGGTTCAGTAGGGTTTAGGGTTTTTTGGTTTGTGGATTAGTGTTGAGGGTTTAGGGTTTAGGGTTGGGGGTTCAGAGTTTGGGGTTTAGTAAATTTAGTGTTGGGGGTTTTAAAATAGGGTTCTGGGCTCAGGGCTTAGTGTTGGCGGTTTCTGGTTTAGGGTTTGGGGGTTAAGGTTTAGGGCCCAGGAGCAGCCCGGGCTTCCCACACTTGACTTGCTAGGATTTTTGCCTAGGTTTTGGCCATCGGTTTCATAATGTTTCATAATGTTTCATACAGGGTTCGTTTTGCAGTTTAGGGCTCAGGCTTCTTGTCAGGTTTGGGTTTTGGGATGTCGGGGGATCCAGTATGCTCGTCTGTATAGCCTTGCTACTCTATGAGATACCCCAAGACCCGAGCCTGACACGAAGACACGAAGCCTGAGCCCTAAACCAACATGAACCCTGAATTAAACAGATTGAACCCAGAAAGACAAACCGTCCAAAACCTAGGCAAAGGCACACAGAAATCCTAGCAAGTCAAGCGTGGGAAGCCCAAGTTGCTCTTGGGCCCTAAACCTTAAACCCCAAACCCTAAACCCTAAATCCTGAATCCCCCAACACCAAACCCTAAACCCCCGACCCTAAACCCCAAAATCCCCAACTCTAAACCCCGTAGTATCAAGGCTATCTCAGATGCGAACATTGCTAGCTTTCCAGACATGCCATGCTCGATTGAGTGGCCTTCCATCTCCTATCCTGTCAGTTGACTGTTGGCACGTTGAGGTTTAACCCTAAACCCTAAACCCTAGACCCTGAACCCTAAACCCTAAACCGTGTTATGCAAAGGTTCGAATAACTAGTCATAGTACATGTTAGCGATTAGAATGTAAAGGCAAGTATCACGTATCCTAAAAACCTATGCTAATCTATTCTATGTAGTAAGCCCGTCCGCATACATGTCGGCAGTCAAATCCACGTTTGGTCGTCGTCGCCGTCCTCGTCCTAATCCTCACTCAGAATATCTAAGTGTTGAACTGCGCCAAAACTGCGGTTCACAGCTGTCTGCATAGTGCCGAAGACGGGACGCTTCGATAGCATCGCTTTTGAGAACAGGATAAATGGCTTCAAGATCCCAATTCAATACCTTGATTTCGTGCGTGAAAGAGTTCGGGGACACATCACGGTTTGCAGTGCTTCTAGAATCAACTTGTTGTTGTGATTGGGTCTCAGATAGACGGATAGGCAGATAAGCAGATCGACAGATAGATAGACAGATAGATAGATAGGTAGATCGATACATGGATAGATTATAGATAGATAGGTAGATAGATAGCTGGGTAGGTGGGTAAGGAGGCAGGTAGATCAGGTAGGTATGTTGATAGCTCGGTAGATAGATAGATAGATAGACAAATAGATATACCGGTAGGTAGATGGATGGATAGCTAGATGGACCGGTAGGTAGACAGGTGGATAGGGACAGCTCGGTAGGTCGATCCAAAGATCGATGGAGTGATCGATGAGTGTGGTGTTGTCCGCAAGAGAAAAGCTTATAATTACCAATGCTATTGTGGTGGTTCCTTATTCTTATAGTATACTGTATTAGTGTTGTCTGCAAGCAAAAGTTTGAGCAGCTTGCTTCCTTGGCCTCTCGCGGAGGTCAGGGCACTCGTCGGGCGTCAGAGGCTTCTGTCTCCTGGCTGGGTGCTCAAAGAGTCCGGTTTGTGCTGGAACTGCAAGTGCCCGTTGCGGTTTTCACAACCCTGGGTTACAACTGCATTCTGGGGCTCACTTGGAGGTTCATGGGTAGTTATAAATGGGGTCATAATTAAGTCCCCTAATAGGGGTTATAACCATAGTTACCCTAATTATAACCCCACTTATGACTACCCATGAACCTCCAGGCAGGGTTAGGATTTGGGGCTGGCGGCCTGCGGAGACGCGAGGCCTGCAACATCCTGGTGTTTTCGCTGATGGCAGCCTACAGCTTCCTCCGCTTCCGGAAGGCTCCTGCCGCCAAATGCAAGAACCCAGAGAGCCTAATGCCCCTTTAGTAAATCAGAATATGAAGCCCCTTACAATTTGAGGTGTATTGCTTAATCAAGGGGTATTGGGCTCTCTGGGACGTCTTCAATACGCCATGCAAGCGATAGCGTCTAATCTTCTGCAGGTGCCAACTGAAACGGGGCAGCGTGGATGCTGCGGTTGTCCCGTACTGTTTCTATGACAACTGCCATTGTAGCTATGAGCGCTCGTCTCATTTGGCGTTGTTTGGGTGGTCAGGGACATGACCAAGTAAGGTCTACTGTGTGCAGCAAGCCACTCTGAACCGCCTACGACTGACGACCCCTGCCCTACTCGTACTCGCAGCATAATTCTTGTCCGCTTCATGCCTTGGTACAGGGGCGTAAATATTAATAGTATACCACCAAACCTGATTCTAATTATTAAGGCCCCGATATTATAATAGTTTTGGATGCTAGTTTCCAGCTCCTGTTGAGAGCCCGACCTCCTGACGCAGGCCACGCCGAGGGAAGGCGAGGACGAGGATGACGAGAAGGCCTCAAAAGAGGAATCTGAGATATGGGAGTTTCCGAAGATAGGGGACCCTAATATAGCACCCTAAGTAGTAGGATCCTTATTATAAGGACACCAAAATAAGGTACCCCGAAGTTCGGAAACTCCCAAATAACCCTAGACCCCTGAATCCCTAAACCTCTTGACCTCTAAACCTGTGAACCCTAAGCTTCTACACCCCAGACCTCTTTCAACCCTACCTATATGAAAGTTTCCGAAAACTAGGGGTACCTTATTTTGGGGTCCTTATAATAGGGATCCTATTGTTTAGGGTACTATATTGGGGTCCCCTATTTTCGGAAACCCCCATATAGTCTCCATTGTGTCAGAAGATGGTGACTCCTTCGTCCTACAACTTGCAGAGTGGTGTACTCAATAAGCACGACAGGAGGATGCTCATGAGCCCTAAACCATATAGATTCCTTTAAAGGACCCCTTATAGATCACTTTAGAATCCCTTATAGATCCCTTTTCCGGAACCCTATAGGAGTCCTTAGCCCATGCTTCTTCCTTTCTTTTGCGGATCATTGCTTATCCTGCTGCTGCTTTTGCTTTCGGTGACGGTTGAGGGTCTTGCCTCATCTCTTGACCATCATTCTGCATGTCTGGAGGCCAAATTTGCGTCCAAGTGTTGGCTCTTTACCTTGGTTTCTGGCCAACCCTAAACTCCAAAAGCCCTGCGCCCCTGACCCCTAGCCCTAGCCCCTAAACCCCAAACCCTTAAACCCCTTTAGCCTAAACCCTAAACCCTAAACCCGGAACGTGGAGGAGGCCTCCACGTCTGCGGCCCAGAGCTTCAAGACCGTCGAGGTGGATGGGCCCGGGTACCCAGAAAGACGCCGAGCCGAAATACTTGGCCAAGTAAGTAAACCCTCACAGCGGCCCGGCCTTAGTGATTAGACTGGGGGCGGGGGGGGGCATATTACTAGTGTAAGACTTTATAGTAGTTTGAGGGCTACCTGGCGACACAATCAGGAATTGTTCCGACCTCTACATTCGAAGTAAGCCCTAAACCCTAAACCCTGAACCCTTAAACCCTAGACCCTCAACCCTAAGCCCTTAAATCCTAAACCCTAAACCCCCTCAAGGTTCAATTGGGCGTCCGCTTCAGGATCTCGTGAGTCGGAATTGAGGGCTTCTCGGAATTTCGGCGGTTTAGGGTTTGGGGTTTAGGCGGTTTAGGCATGGTTTGGCTTCAGCCACCTCCAAAAGTGGCCTTCATGCAGTAGTAGTGCAATTGCTTAGGCTTCATGCTTCTTCTAACTGTCTTGGGAAGCTTTCGAAAACAACGGCTGACCACTCAAGAAGCAGCACCGGTAAACGCAGTGCTGGCGGCAACGCCCACATGTCGGGGATTTCGAGGCCGACCCGGAAACTCTTCGGCCCTCATTGCTAAGATAGGGGGCTTTTCTTAACTGCCAATACTATTGTGGGGGTTCCTTATTAATTATAAGGATAGTATAATGGGCCCCAAAGCCCTATTCTGACTATTACGGCCCCTACTAAGGGTTTAGAGTTGAGGACTTATGGCTTGGGGATTAGGGCTGAGAGAGCCGAGAGGCTGTAGAGTGTTAAGGGCTCTGCCACCCGCAGACGATATCCTCACTCCAGGGTTGGGGTCGGAAGGAGGCTTGAGATTAGGACTTTAGGGCTTTAGCAAAGGGCCTTACGAATTACAAGTGGGTTCTGGAGGATATGGTAGTTTTCGTATGTAAGGATCTTCGGGGTATTCCGACTCCTTTTTTGGTTTTGAGTAGGGTGCTAGGGTGTGAGGATTTGGGCTTTCGGGACCAACAGGGTCGGATTTTCAGGAATCCGCAGCAAATCCTAAACCCGAAACCCGCAACCCAAAACCCAAAACCTAAACCCCAAACCTAAAGCCCCTCTTTGAATCTCCAGGCGCAGGATAGGGAGATGTGGGGTAGCAGTTTAGGGTTACTACGAGGGTTCCTAAATGAGGGTCCAAAAGTCTGTAAGGTTCACTGTGAGAGTGGTTAAGCGCTTAATACTGAATTGTGGCTTTGGGGGATATTATTGCATAAATTGTAAATGTACCTTAACAGGAACCTTCAGGAATAGTATTGGTACTGCAGCGGCGGGTTGTGTTCCTTCCCAGCCATATTCGATGGGAAACGCCCAAGGCCGACCACCCTACTGAAGGGATCCATTATAGCTACAGTGTCACCTCCCAAAACCGTATTGGAATTATTCAGGCACCCACATTTTTTCGTCGGGGCTCTGAGGCATAGGGTCGTGCAAGGAGAACGGCGTAGGATTGCGCGAACGGCCCAGGCGGGAGGTCACGCTGCGGGTCTTCACGCCCGCCGGAGGCCAAAAGCCGTGCGGGTTGGTCTGAGAAAGGGTCGGAAGGATTACCAACATAAGTCCGATCGATCGATGTATGTATGCATGCATGCATGCATGCATATATGTATATGTATATATATATACACATGTATATGTATATATATATATATATATATATATATATAGAAATGTATATGTATACATATATATATATATACACGTATTTACATAAAGAGGAGAGAGAGAGAGAGAGAGAGAGAGAGAGAGAGGTAGAGAGTAGGTATCATATACCCGAAAACCCTACGTGACTACTACGGCGCCTTGATGGATTCTGACTGAACTCCTACTGTACTGAATGTAGTCGTGGAGCCGAATCATGCCCTGGCCCCTCGGTACCGTGTTTCGTGGTGCAGAGTATTGAGCCCTGTCGTGGCACGTTGCTTCCATTCTCCGAGAGGAATAATTTGTGCAGTGGCTCGGCGGCTGTTGTCGCAGACTCAAACCTTTGCAGTACTCTCTCTCTCACACACTCTCTCTCTCTCTCTCTATCAATCTCGATTCTATTACTACTGCTTATTATTATTATTAATATTATTATTATTATTATTATTACTACTACTACTGCTACTACTACTACTACTACTACTACTACTACTACTACTGCTTATCCTGCTACTGCTACTACTACTACTACTACTACTACTACTACTACTACTGCTACTACTGCTACGACGATTACGGTTTTGGGATCCGAAGACGGGCTTCGTGACAGGAGGTGGCTCGAAACCGGCCGTCGTGATGGCATTGGCCTGAGCTGTGGGCTACTGCCACGGTTCCAGCGTTTTGGTTGTAGGGTTTATGTTGTAGGGTTCATGTATATACCGGTACTACTACTGCTGCTGCTCGGCTGCTGCTACTGCTACTGCTACTGCTGCTGCTGCTGCTACGACGACTACTACACCTACAACTAATACACAACTGTTGCTACACGAACTACTGCAAACTACTACAGCCTGTCGGGCCTAAAGTATGCAGGTGTAGGTTGGGATCTTAACGGCTTTATGGTTTAGAAGGTTTCGGGTGTCTGGTCTGCTTGAGGCTAAAGGCCCCGTGGTCCAAACAGTCTTGGAGTTGAGGTTCCCGGGTCTGATAGCTAAGTGTGGGAAATCGTTTTTCACCCTCGATTCTGCCTGTTCTGGCTGTAGTAGCTTTTGCAGAGATCTGCACGTAAAATACGAAGTGTCAGTTTATGCCAGCTTTAGATGTACGGTAAGTCACTTCATGTCGGTTCCATAGAGCAGCGAACGGAAAGCAAGACTGTTCTGACAGTCCCTGTGCCTGTTGCTCGTGGACAGATGCCAGACGTGCGCAGCATCCACGACTTCAATTTGTCCGCCCCTTCCAAGAAGACCTGTGCTACCAAACCCTGAAGGGTCCACAACCCAGAAGATCTCTGACTCGTAATGTAGGGGCCGTAATAATTAGAATAGGATTTTGGGATATATTATATCACAATTAAACTAAGGAACCACCTTAAACCCTAAACCCCAAACCCTAAACACTAAACCCTAAACCCTAAACCCTAACCTAAACAAAATATCATAGGTAGTTATTAAGTCCCCAAGAGTGCACCAAACGTTCCAGAAGCGGGGCGACCTCAGGTTTGTGGTCTCCTTTGGTGCGGGTGCCCAGACAGCTGGTAATGTAAGGGCCTTAATAACAAATAGTCAGAAGAGGGTTTCTTTGAAGGGGTCTATAGGGGCTACTATAAGGGCTACTATAGTAGGGGCCTTAATAATTAGAATAGGGTTTTGAGGGTTCCTTGTTATGGTTATAGTATAATATCCCCCGAAGCGCTGTTCTGATTATTAAGGCCTCTACATTAGGGTCATCGCTGAGGGTGGGTCTTCAGCGTTTTGGGGGGCTTCCTAAATCCGAAGCTTCCCTAAGCCCTAAAAACTCATAGCAGCGCAGCACAAGCGCGGGGATAGGATTACGGTTGCAGCTTGCCTGCTCTTCGAGGGCTCTTGGTTCGGGGCTCAGAGACTAAGGGGCCCTACGGCAGACCCTGAACAGTGGAGTCTATCATTGTTCTTGCTACTACTGCTTTTGTGATTACTATGATGGTGATCTGATAATAGCCGCAACTTGTATGTTTGATGAATTAGCATACCAATGCTTCTTACAAGGCCCCCCTTCATAGATGGGGCACCGCAAGCCTCACATGGAGGGGAGCGAAGAGAATCTGCGAGCTCCCCCGCTCTCCCATCGGGGCCCGAAAGAATCTCGAAACCTAGGAGCAAAAGAAGCACAACCCGAAACCCTAAACCCTAAACCCAGAGATCAGGTTCGGCGAGGGCATTCTGGGCACCTCGGCATGAGGAAGATCCGAGAGGCTTCTTGAAGGCTTCTTTAAAGGAACCTATGCTACAGGGCTGTTCATTTTTTAAGGGTCCTTTAAAGGTTTCTGGAAGGGTTTGGAGGAAAGAGCTTTTTTGTGTTTCTAGTGCGGTTTGAGGTCACTGGGGTTCCCAGAAGGTCTAAAGTCTAAAGTCCCTGCACTGCGGAATGCATGTTAAGGTACGGGAGGTCCATTCTTCAGTAGATTAAATGGTTCCTAGTAATATGCCCTACCGTAGAGATAGGGTTGTTTAAGTAGTTACTACACCCTGAACTTCAATAAACTACTACTACTACTACTACTACTACTACTACTACTACTGCTACTGCTACTGCTACTGCTACTGTTACTGCTACTACGACGACGACGACTACTACTACTACTGCTGCTGCTGCTGCTACTACTACTACTACTACTACTGCTTCTACTACTACACTACCACTGCCACTGCGACTGCTACTGCCACCGCTACTGCTGCTCCGGCGGTGGCGGAGGCGGTTGCTGCTGCCGCTGCTCCGATGCTGACACGGACAAAAAGTCATAGTACCATTTTCAGCCGTTTGTAAATTTTAAGAAGAAGACACCCCTATTCAAATTTTGTCTCAGGAATGACACGGCCCAGTTCGACTGCCTGAGGCTTCATCGGCCTGAACTTTAACGACGCTTTCGGCCATGCGCTGGCAAGGAACGGGCTGCGCGGGCTCCAAGCATCAGCAGCAGGCGGTAGAGTTAAACGTTTCAGGCTTCGGAGTTTGAAGCTTGGGGTTATTTCGGGGTCCTTCAAATAAGGATCCTACTATTAAGGGTACTATGTTAGGGTCCCCACTTTTTCGGAAGTTTCCGATTGACGCGGGTCCATAGGTTCAGGCTTGTGCCGATGACTGTTTGCGGGCTTTCTTCCGTGGCCGTTGTAGCATGAAGAGGACAGGACACAAGCTCGGCGGAGTTGCAGCACAAGCTGCCACAATGTGTTAGTCTCCCCCCAACCGTTAAGATCGAAACCCGAAAACCCACACCCCAAACCCGAAGCTTCCTCGCCGAAGCCACGGAGCTTGGCTAAGCCGGAGGCCCTGTGTTCAAATCCACACGCCGCAGCGCCATATCGCGCACACGCGAGCTTCTGGGCTCAAGTGTCTTCTGGTTAGGGTTCAGGCGGCTTTAGATGGCTTTAGGGTTGAGGGATGTGTTTCCTTGCAGGTGCCTGCCGCTGCTTCGGTCCTGGCTTTCGGGTCTCCATTCAGACCTGCACGGCTCCTTACTTGAAGGATTTGTCGTCTTTCGGATCACCCATCCTTGAGCAAGCCGGCTTGTAGCCAGAGGCTAGGTACATAAGTACACAGTGTCTTTCCATCTGACCGTCCACCACTTTCTGTCCATTTGCTTGCATGCTTGCCTGCCTGGCTGCCTGCCGGCCTATGCCTGTCTGTCACGTTGTCTGCTTGTCTACTTTTCGTCTGTCCGTGTACCTGCTTTTCTGGCCAGGCCATTAGACTTGCAGAAATCGGCAGGAAGCATTTGTCAGCGTGACGCATGACTCGTTCATTGCACATGCAGAAATCAATAAGAGCTTGGCGAGTATGTGAGTACACGAGCAAGTGTAAAAGAGCGCGCGGCACAGCATTGTAATGCATGTATGTCGAATGCACAACACAGATAGGATGCGCACGTGTCTACAACTGGATATATTACGCGTATACGCCCGTACCTGTACATACGTATAGACGTATGTACGTATGTATGTACGTATGCGTGTACGATCGTGTACGTATGTGCGTGTGTACGTGTACGTAAGTACGTAGATGTGCGCGTGCATGTATGTATGTACGCATGTATGTATGCATGTATGCATGTATGTATGTATACATGTATGTATGTATGCATGTATGTACTATGTATGTGCGCTTGTAAATGTTAGATACGCCGTATACACGCTGCGAACGACACAGTTTGGTTCCCAGGTCGGGAGCTTCCATCAATGCACCCGGTGTATACTGCTACACGCAGTTGCGTACATGCTGCATGCATGCATGCTTGAATGTTCACTATATGTATGTACATGCATATGTGAATGTGCGTATGTAGGTATCGCTAGGCGTATACACGTACATATATATATATATATACACGCATAATATTAATATGAAAAATAATGGTGTGTGTATATATGTATATATCTATATATATATATATATACATATATTATAGATAGATTTGGCGACGGACATATAGGGTGTCACCCCTGATCACTCAATCGTTGGTGTCTCCAGCTGCAGTCTCCGAAATGTAAGACCTTTGGATGTTGCTCCCGAAAGTTGCATTTGGGTGCATGCTATGAAGAAGCCTCTCAAGCTGCAAAAAAGAAGTCAGGGCAGCAACGAAAGATGGGGGCAGTCCAGTGCTTGGTGAAAGAAAACGGTTTCGATGCTCGGTATCCTGGATGCCCCTAAACTGCAGGTTCTGCGGCCGAAACGGACCCCAATAGGCAAGCTCATCAACCTCCCGAGGTGCAGGAACTAGCGCTGGCGCTCTGCGCGCCGGTGTATCTGGTGGCTTGACGAAGTTCAGGTTAAGGACAATAGCAATGCGGTTGTACTTTGTATTTGTTTTTGTATTTGTAGTGGTGACTGTACTGACAGCAGCAGCCGCAGCAGGATCGGGAGGGAGGAGGAGTGGTAACAGCAGAGGAAACAGGAGTAGTAGTAGCAGCAGCAGGAGGACGAGGAGTGGTAGTAGTCAGAAGTGCAGTAGCAGCAGCAGCGGCAGCAGGAGTAGCAGGAGCAGGAGCAGGAGCAGTAGTAGTAGTAGTAGTAGTAGTAGTAGTAGTAGTAGTAGTAGTAGTAGTAGTAGTAGTAGTAGTAGTGGTAGTAGTAGTAGTAGTGGTAGTAGTAGTAGTAGTAGTGGTAGTAGTAGTAGTAGCAGCAGCTGCAGTAGTAGTAGTAGTAGTAGTAGTAGTACTAGTAGTCGCAGCGGTGGTGGTGGTAGCGGTGGTAGTGGTGGTGGTGGTGGTGGTGGTGGTGGTGGTGGTGGCAGTAGTAGTAGACTAGAAGAAGACTAGGAGACAAAGTCGCAGAAGCAGTAGCAGTCAGTAGAAGTAGAAGTGGATAGTAGCTTTTGTTGTCGTTGTCGTTGCTGTTGATGTTATTGTTGTTGTAGTTGCTGTTGTTGTTGTTGTTATTGCCGTTGATGTTGTAGTTGTTGCTGTTACTGCTGCTGCTGTTGCTGCTGCTGTTGCTGTTGCCGTCGCAGTTGTTGCTGATTCGGGTTCTTGGTTGTTGGTTGTTTCGTCCCAAACAGCTAATTTCATGAACGCCTGTACAAACCGATACAGCCCTTATGAGTCCCTTACTGCAAGCTTCCATAAGGCCCCACCTCCATGACCTCTCAGACCTTCAACCCTAAACCCTAAACCCATTACATGTTAGAACAAAAACCCTAGACCCCCAGAGCCCCAGCCGTGTTGATGAATGCCCCCGTGTTCAGCCAGGTGCCGGGGCTGCGATTTTTGCTTCTGGCCGGGTCCCTAGCTTCGATACAAAATGCAAAGTTTTTTAGGGTTTTCGAAGGCTTCTGAAGGTTGATTGCAACTGTGTGTTTGCCTTTTGTGCTTTATTGGGCCTGTTTTTGTAGAAAGTTGTTTGATGTATGTTCAGTGTATTGTCTATACACTCAGGCTTTTAGGGGTTCTGAGGCTGTTTTCAACCACGCCTTTATGGTGTTTAGGGCTTGTAAGTGTTTTTTGCAGATTTTAGAGGCTTTCGAGGTTTTAGGGGGTGTTCATGTTTCGCGTGTTTCAGAGTGTTTGTAGGTATGGGGAGTTTAGCACTATGGCAATGGCCTTTAGGCTGAAGGTTATGACTGTGACGTTGAGGTTGCAGGTATTTAAGGTCGAGGCCTGCAGTTGATGGCAATCCTGCCACATAGAGAAGCAACTACGGCTTGGGGTTTAGGGCTAAGGTTCAGGGGCTTCAAGAAGCATTCATTCCGGCTTGCTGGTTTAGGGCTTTAAGGTTGCTTCTCATGCAATTTGCCCGGCAACCATGTTTACGTCAGGCGCTCCTATTGGTTCCCAGACATACGTCTGGAACTTTCTGGAATGCTCCTCGTCATCCTGGAGCCCCTAAACCCGAAACCCTAAAGCCTAAAGCGGAAACCCGAAACCCTAACCCCTAAATCCTAAACCCCATAAACCCCTAAACCCAAAACCCGGAAATCCCTTAAACCGGAAACCATAAACCCCATAAACCCCTAAACCCTAAACCCTAAACACACTCTTTGGGAGAAGGCCCCAGTTGGCCACCAAGGCAGCAGATGTGCTCATGCCAGGAGCTTGGGCCCAGGAGTTGTGCCGATGGCCACGGTTTAGGGGTTTAGGGTTTAGGGTTTAGGGTTTAGATACCGAGGAGTAGTGCCGTAGGAGTAGAAGAAGTAGGAGAAGCAGGAGATGTAGGAGACATGGGAGAAAAAGGAGAAGTAGGAGAACAGGAGAAGTAGCAGCTTGGAGAAGTAGGAGAGGTAGGAGCAGCAGGAGAAGAAGTAGGAGAAGAAGTAGCAGTAAACGTAGAAGTAGCAGCATCAGGAGGAGTAGTAGTAGTAGTAGTAGCAGCAGCAGCAGGAGTAGTAGTAGGAGTAGTAGTAGTAGTAGTAGTAGTAGTGGTAGTAGTCGTAGTAGCAGCAGTAGTAGCAGTAGTTGTACGGTTGATGATATAAACCCTGCATGACCCATAATAAAGAATATACCATAATTCCCACAGTTTAGGGTCTTTAAGGTAATGCAGGATTTATATCATCAACCGTAGTAGTAGTAGTAGTAGTAGTAGTAGTAGTAGTAGTAGTAGTAGTAGTAGTAGTAGTAGTAGTAGAAGTAGTAGTAGTAGTAGTAGTAGTAGTAGTAGTAGTAGTAGTAGTAGTAGTAGTAGTAGTAGTGGTAGCAATAGTGGTAGTGGTAGTGGTAGTGGCAGTGGCAGTGGCAGTAGCAGTGGTAGTGGTAGTGGTAGTACTAGTGGCAGTGGTGGTAGTAGTAGTAGTAGCAGTAGTAAAGGTAGTAGTAGTAGTAGTAGTAGTAGTAGTAGTAGTAGTAGTAGTAGTAGTAGTAGTAGCAGTAGTAAAGGTAGTAGCAGTAGTAGTAGTAGTAGTAGTAGTAGTAGTAGTAGTAGTAGTAGTAGCAGCAGTAGCAGTAGCAGCAGTAGCAGCAGTAGTAGAAGGAGAAGGAGAAGTAGAAGTAGAAGTAGTAGTAGTAAAATTATAAGTAGAGGTAGAGGTATAAGTAGAAAAAGAAGGGCAAGTAGAAGTAGAAGACCCCGTTCTAAAACTCCTAAATGCCAGAAACGTTAAATCCCTTAACCCCTTAAGGAATCCTTGAAGGCCTCCTTTAAGGAATCCTTGAAAGAGGCTCCTTTAAGGAATCCTTTAAGGGCTCCTTTAAGGAATCCTCTCAGGGCTCCTTTAATTTACAGTAGAAGCCAGAAAGTTGGAACATGGCTTTAGGAGGATTAGTGCTAGGATCCCTTATACTTTACCTTAAGGGCATGAGGAGTCTGGTGTTCCAACTTTCTGGCTTCTACTATAGGCCCCACAATGTAGGAACCTGATTAAGAAACCTTGGGCCTTTATTAGGGCTCCTTATAAGAATCCTACTATTTTGGGGTTATAGACCCAGGGCTCCTGCATTAGTAGTTCCTTTTTGGGATTGTAGGGTTATCCTCCCAACCTTCCCACCCCACCGAAGCCACTATAAGGGTACCTTTAAGGGGTTCCTTTAAGGGATCTATACACTACCGTAAGGGCTCCCTCAGGGTTGCTCTGAGGCTCCTCACGTCCCAGAGAGACATTTGGCTGCTCCTGGTCGCCGCCGCCTAAGCTGGGTGACAAGGGTCTCAGAAAGTTTTTGTAAGCAAATAAATGAGTGAGTCAAAAAAAGGAAATAGTTATAACAAACTAGATACAGCAATCTGTGTATATGTACAATTATATATATGTATATATATATATATATACATACTATAATTAGCTGCTTTCGGTTTGCTAGAGTATAGTACAGTGCAACATAGTATGAAACAGTATGTTGTAGTATAGCACAACACCGAGTAGAGTAAGAGAGAACCGAATTTTACAGGGTTCTGAAAGGGTTTGGCCTGGGTTTTGGGGTCTAAAGGGAACTCCAGAAAGTTGGAATATGGATTAATGGTAGGATCCCCTATTAAAGGGGTTACGATAATGATATTCCAACTTTCTGGCTTCTACTGTAGGAGTGTTTAGCCTCTAGGGTTTGGCGTTTCCAAGATCCGGGCTTCGGATTGCTTCTGGATGCTTCTCAAGGAACTTGAATCTGGGTTTGGGGTTTAAGCTTTAGGGTTTAGGGTTTAGGGTTCAGAGTTTAGGGTTTAGAGTTTAGGATTTAGCGTTTAGGGTTTAGAGTCTAGGGTTTAGAGTTTAGGGTTTAGGGTTTGGTGTTTTCTGTGACCTTAGTTTTTGTTTCTTTAAGTGTAAAATTGGTTTGAGTGGCCGTAATCGGGATCTATAGTACTTAATATGGTTTCCTTATTATAGTAACTTAGACTAAGTTCAGGCGCTCTGGATCGAACCTAGCTGTGCTAGGTATTGCTAGAGCCCCAGTGCTGTCGGTAGCACGACCAGAGCCATTGGCGGTTCCCCACATTGGCATCGCAAGCTACGCTTGCGCCGTACGAGGGCCAGGTTTCGAATTCGGCTGGCCAGAGAGGCAGGCCGACCGCCTCGTCACAAAGATCTGTTGCTGTTGGTCTCGCACCACAGCGCTCCCGCATATAAGGAACTACGACTGCCGATGGGCCGCCAACAGCGCGAATGGGAAGAGCCTCGAGCCCCATGGAAGCGCGAAGCAGCGGCAAAAGCCAAAGGGCCCAAGTGGCAGCTTTGGCATGGATCACGATCTTCGGCCTCTCCTGGTTCGTACAGACAGGAAGGCCCACGCTACGACCAAGTTACTCTGCAGAGGCCGGTGAACGGTCCCGAGGCTGGGAACGAGGAGACCTTCGAACACGGGGACTCCCTCCTTATGCGGGAAATGCAGAAGCTTCTGTCCGCTGCAAAGCGGGCGGATACCCGCGTGCGGCGCCTCAACGAGGAGAGACAGAGGAAGGACGCATTGTGGATCCAGTTCCAACAGGACACCAAACGCAAATTTGCCCGTCAGCAACAAGAGTACGAGGCAGACGTGGGCCGCTTGGAGAAGGAGAAGCAACAAGCAATCCTGAATGGCAAGCAAGCTGCAGCGGGTGTGAAGCAGCTGGTCCTGCACGGAGTGTCGCAGGAGAAGGATTCCACGACATCTTCGGATGCTGCTTGGAATGCGCTTATGGCAGCAGACGATGCTGCCTCGGTGCCAGCCACTGGTTTCCTCCGGGAGGCCATGCAGGTGGCATCATTGGTCGGTGGAGTGGACCTTGCTCAAGGACCACAACCTTCTTTGGTTGCTCCAGCAGCACCGGGTCCTACACCTTCTGCTGCGCCTTTCCCTTCTCAGCGAAACCACGGACACCACCTCCTCCGGTGAACGCGTATGGGCCATCACTAGAGGAGAAACTCGAAGCGAGAAGGGCATCGGAGGCTGGGGCGGCTCTGACCCCTTTCGGGCTCGGAGGACCTTTGCCGCGGCCTCTTCCACCAGCCGGATTGGTCGAACCCACTGCAGTCGAGAGGTCCATTGCGGGAATGACCTCACAGGACACGAGAGCGGAGGGAGACCCAGACCCACAAGCGAAACTCCCTATTCCCATTCGCATCGATGCCAATGGAGATTCGGAAGAGGAGCCAGGCTCAGGAGTGCTGGGCAATATGGAGTAGTACAGACGATATGTACAGCGGCCGCGGATAGTTCATTTTCCTCCGCGCGAAGGGATTCAATAAGTGGCAGCTGCAGCCTTGCGGACCCGGAACCTTCCGATCTGTTTTGGGACACAGGTCGTGAGGATATGCAGTCCGAAGGGCAATGCTCTGCTACTGGTTGGATCTCATGGCGTGCGAATCCGGCGGTAGATAATGTACAGTATTATGAGTGTGAGCAGACAACGAGGCATGCTCCTCCTCAGGCACTCTTCTCCTCGTCCGACACCCATTCTTATGGACCAGGCCGCCTAACAGTTCACTGGGTTTGTGTTCTGTCTTGGCGTGCCCTTCAGGCCCACTGGTGGCAGGACGCGGTGCATTGGGTTTGTGCACCGTCTCCTTTCACATGTCCCTCTCCTTTCGTCCTCGGAGCATTATGCCACCGGTCGAGTGTGGGCGCCAGTTTTAGAGGCTGCCCCTCTCACTCTGCAGGATCATCATACTTGCCACGCCAGTCGGACGTTCCTGTACGGATTTCCCGACCCGCAATTGCCCATAAGGGTTTAGTTAGGGGTTTAGGCCTTTTCCCCCTGCCTACCCCGCAAGAGGTTTGCTGTCCCAGATGCGGTGCCTAAGAGGTATATCGGTGGCTCAGGGATACCCACCGCTACGATCAGCATCCTTTTGTCCTTCCTACACTGGTTGGAACTTCAGCTCACCAGCTGTGGATATTTGCTTTCCCTAGCAGTGTTGCTTGCCACGCTAGGGTTGTTAGCTAAGGCCAGTTGTCATCAACGCACCACAGCGGGCAAATGCTTTCGCGCTTTACTCTGGCAGCCGCCTTCACCGATCTTGGCCGTTGCCGCGTCTGTTGCCCAGTGCCACGAGCCATGCCTGCGCTGGGAGTCGCAGCGCTCCCGGAAGCCAGTAGCAAGACTGCCCTCGTGGAAGACCAGATTGTGCATTGCAGCTCTCACTTGGCTGCACTCCTCCTCAATTGTTTGGGCTGCACCTCCTGGCCTTCCTGCTAATGCATCTGAGGCTCTACCAGATGGCGGCCTAGTTGTCCGGAATCCCGACACACTAGTTGTTGCAATCGATGAGTTGCCAGACGCGCCCCCTGGAGAGGCGACCGAGCTGTCTGATGATGCTCGTCCCCCGGCCTATGCAGGCGAATCTGAACCACGTCTGCTATGTTTAATTTTCGCCCCAGATTTCATTACTGAGATAGTTGAAATCAGGCCCGAGCGGTGTAGATGTATCGACGACGTGCTATCTGAGGGATCTAAAACATCTGCTAGGCTTAGTGCATTACAACCTGCCAGGCTTATCCCAGTCACGCCGCAGCTTGGGGATGGTTACGCCAGCTTGGTTGCCCTACCTCGTTGGCTGGATGCCTCCTATAGGCGAATAGTCATTTTCGACTTTTCTACAATAGGCGGCCCTACATACGCCCGGTTTGTGCACGACAGGATCACCTACCGCGATCTCGAACTTGAAGCCAACATCCATACCGAAGTTCTCTGGCAGGCCTTCAGGTTCGGCAACTTCGCACCTGTCGCTCGCGGGTCTTCGGTTTTGGTATCTTCAGGGGACGTTATTCGCTTCGTACCCCAGCACGAAGGGCCATCATGGGGTCCCACTTTGGAGTACCTGATTGCTCGGCCTCACACTTGGGTCAACAGCCCCGATAATACACTGCGTGAGCTTGATAAAGGAGATTGCCTAGTGGTTAGGCCCGATTTCTACAAAGCTCTCCCGTGCCAAGGGGGAGTGACTCCCCAACTCCACCAAGCCATTGCCGATGATATGTACTGTGAGGTGCATAACGTTAGTTTTGGGGCCCCCCTTGCAGTTGAAGGCCTTCAGGATGTGATCCACGACGGCTATCGCACTCACATTGTAGTAGGTGCAATCCCGAGGTCCGAGTCAATCCCTCCAGGCCCAAACCTTGGCCTTTTCGTGTTCTACGATTGCCGGCCAGCAGGCCGTGGCATCGGATGCTCCCTTGAGTCAGCCAGACTTTTGCCTACGGGCCCTGTTGTCCGTATCATGGGTCTTTGGCCTCCCACGGGCTTTAGACCATATGCCGAACACACGAGCCTGGAGCACGCAGGTGTTACGATCACTGATGGAGCGGTGATCACCTATGGGTTTGAGGAAGAGCTTCCGGCAAACTCAGCGACTATGCATGAGCCCTTTGATCTTCCTTCGTCTGACGTGGAATCAGCGAGCCGCCGAGGCATCGATCACCAGCAGTTCCTTCTTTTCCCCCCAGCCGAAGGAGACACATCGCATAGTCGTGGCACGCCTAGCGTCATCAGGTCGCACCCCATTCCTCACACTGCTGTGGGATGCGTGGTACTCTTGCCCAGAGCGAAGCCCGAACACTACGATCTTAACCTGCCGATACCCTGCTCTCCGCAACAAGCATGCAACGTCCTCGTTGAAGAGCGTAAAGATCGGCTTCTCAACCTCTATGAGCACTTGATCATTGCCGATCCTCAGCCATCGGATCGCTTTTGCACTTTTATTGCGGTACCGGAGTGGGCCCATAACCACTCGTTTGTGGCAGTCGATGCACGGCAGATTGACGGTCGACTTTTCTGTACGCAACTTGAGGACGGTCTCTTCCTGAGATCCATCTTCGCCCAGCTGCAACTTCCCACGAGACCGGGGTACCAAATTGTGCACCATGGAGCGATCATCCGACCGGACGCACCGGTCCGAATTTCCAAAGGGGATACCTTCACAGTAATACCATGGGATGGCATCATCCCGCCTAGATATAGGCTTTCGGTTATGCTCCAGCGCTCCACGGATTGGATGATTCCGTGCCCTCGCGTTGCCCCCGCCCCAGGCAACAGAGTATATGTCCTTACGGACGCGTGGAATTCTGCCATTGAAATTCCTAGCGCTTGCTTGGACTCGCCTACTCGCCTTCACTGTTTCCTCGCTGCCTTTCTTAGAGCCGACCCCGACCGACTGCACTTACGGCAGCCTGTCCCCAGCATCACTGACTATTGCAGCTTGGGCTACCC